CCTCCGTGGCCTCACAGCTGCCCCCGGAGGCAGGTCTCGTGATGCCCCGTTTCTCAGATGAGGACCCCGAAGCAGCTCAGCAAGGCCCCCGAGACAGGAGTGGCTGAGCCAGGCCCCAGCCCCTGGCAGCTCGGGTCCAGAGTCTGGCCTTGACCGTGACCCTGCCCTGGAAACAGCGGCCGTGCCGACGGCTGACCTCCCAGCCTCCTGTCTCCCTGCCCGCGTGCCCGTCTCCTGCCTTAAGTCTCTTCTAAGGAGCCCGTTTGTTCTGGAAGGTTCCCCCGACCCTCAGTCCCGAGTCCTGGGCGTGTGGCACGGGGGCCTTGGGGCCCCAGCCCTCCTCCCCGTCCTGCCCCCGCCTCCCTCTGGCTGGCTTGCCGTCCTCCCGACTCCAGGCCTTCGCCCGGCCCCAGACAGTGACCGGCCCATTTCTCACCTGCACCCCCGGCCTGGCTGAGGGGCTGAGACGGGTCCATGGGGGACCCGCCAGCGCTGCGCTCGGCCGTCTGCTCCTCGCCGCATCCGTCTGCCGGGTCAGCTTGTCCGCTGCGTTTGGGGGTCCTGACCGCTTATGAGGCAGTTGCCAGAAGGGCCAGCAGAGTTGCTCCAGAAGGTTCCCCCCCCCGCCCCCAGCAGGTGTGCCTCGGGTGGGGAGCCGGCTGGGCTGCTGACTGGCTGTGTGGCCCTGGGTTGCTGTCCCTTCCCCGGGGTTTTGGGGATCAGTGACTTGACTGAGAGCGATACCAGGTGCCACGGGGTGGGTCCAGGTCTGGCTGCTACGAATTTGAATGGTTTTCAGACCCAGCTCCTCCCTCGGGGGCTGTAGCCGGGAGCTGGTGATGGGACTCTCCAGGGTCCCCCTGAGGTGCCTGCCCGCCGGGGACCGCGACAGCGGGGTCAGTCCATGGTGGGGGGCGGGCTCAGGCCCCAGCGCCATCTCAAACCCTGTGCCACGGGACGTCAGGAGCCCCCCATGGGTGCCCGGGTCCCGTCAAGGGGCGGCCGTCCCGCAGGCCCAGGCACAGCGCTCGGCTGCTCGCAACTCTGACCCCATCATGGTGGGCAGCGGGCCCGGCCGCGGGGCGCGGACCCTGGCGTGGGGGCGCCCGCCCTGCCCGCCCTGCCAGGCTGGCTGCCGTGGCGCGCGGGATAGATGGCAGTCCACACGGAGCTCGGGGCAGGCGGGCCAGACTGAGGTGCCAACGGGCCCTCCTGGGAAGTGGGGGGGCCCCTTTGGGTCAGAGGGTCAGGGAGGCCTCTCCCAGGAGGCCACACAAGGCCTGAGTGACGAGAGTCGTCCCGGACAGCACCCTGAGGAGGGGCGGGGCCTGGCGAGGGCAAGGGGGGGACCCTGGGGCTGCCCCAGGGCGACCACCGGGGACGTTAAACGGTACAGTGAGCTGCGCTGATTGGTTTCTCTAGAAGCTCACGCCGGGCGAGGACTGCTGGAGGGAGGCGCCATTGGTCCTCAGACGGGGGCACAGCCGTGGAGCCGGCTGAGGGGCCCGGCCACAGCCCGATGGGTGCGGACCCCTCAGGACCTCCTCCGGCTCCGGCGGCCCCCGCGCTGTGGTCCCCTCTGGTCCCCCTGGGGAAGGACACACTGCCCTCCAGCCCTGTCTCCGTTCACCTGTCTGTCCGGCTGTCCACACCCCAGTCGGAACTGGAGCGATGGAGCAGCGGCTCGCCTCCCGACCCGGTGCTGCTGCGGGACGCTGGGTCGCCCCCCCATGCGGCCGGAGCCCCCTCACTGCGGGGCCTGTGCCCAGGGCGTGAGGGCAGCCCCGCCCCCCGGCACACGCCGCCCTGCGCGGGAGACGGGCGCGCCTCGCTGGGGCCCGGGAGCCTGCACGGCCTGCGTCCAGCCCGAGGGGTGCAGGGGCGGGGGCGCCGGGGACCGACGTCAGGAGGAAGCTGGCACATGGGTGACCGGGGCGGTGCTCGCGTCCCGGGGGGCCGCCCGGCCTCGCTCCTGGAGTCCCCCCGCGCTGTGGGCCCCCGAGCCGGCCTGGCTCGCTCCGTGCACTCGGACCAGCCCGGGCCGCGTGGACCCCGGGGCTGCCCGCGCGGTGCGGGAGCCCTGGCCCCTCGTGCGCACGCCGCCTCGGTCTCTGCCCGCCCCGTGGGTGCGCTGTCTGCAGAGGCCCACCTGGCGCCTCAGGGCACAGCACGGGCACAGCCCCGGCCCCTTCACGGCACGGCAGAGCCGGTGCTGCCGTTCTGCTGCGGTCGGGCCCGGCGGGCTGGGGGCCGCCCCGCCCGTGGCCCGGCGCTGACTGCGAGGCTTTGGGTAAAGGGACTGCCCCCGCCTTAGCTGGGTGCCTGCCCTGGGTTAGTGGGAGGCTCCGGCCCACAGAACCCACTGGACACCAGATCTGCCAGAAAGGGTGGGGACGGCGGAGCCAGAAGCGAGGGTGGGGGCGGGGGTGTGGCTCTTGGCCGGAGTTCCCGCCCAGTCGCCCAGTCCTGTGGGCGGGCAGGGTCACCTGCTCCACCTCTGCTGGGAGCCAGGCCGCCCACCGCCAGCCCACTGAGTGGGGCACTCCCTCTTGGGGTGCACAGTAGAGCCTGCGGGGGGTGTCTCGGAGAAGCCGGGGACCCCGACCCGGGAATCTGATGCTTGGGGAGCTCCCCGCGGGGTGCAGCTCGCGCTGGGAGGGTGTCCTGGAGAGGAGGTCGGGGTCTGTGGGGAGAGCCGTGACGCCGGAGTGGCCTGGGCTGTGCGTGCACACGTGTTTGTGCGTGTTGCATGTGGACGCAGGGTGGAGCACCCGGGCTGCCAGGGGCCTGTCTCAGCTGCCGCAGGGTCATTGTGGGATGGACTCTGGGGGCCTGGGCCCAGGCCCCCTCAGAGGGTGTCCCGTCCGTGGGCTGGGGGGTGTCGCTGCTGCTTGGCAAGCACCTGGCCTCTGCTCTCCCTCCCAGCTGGCCCTCGGCTGGTCCGAGGGGTCTGCCAGTGGCCTCGGCAAGGCCCCCCTCCTCAGGACTCCCAGGCTGCCCGCCCCTCCTCGTCCGAGAGGCCTGGCGCCCCCGACCCGCACCCCAGCGTGTGTGCCCAGGGGACAGGACGCTCCAGCCGCCCCCCCCCCCGCCTGCGCCCTCGTGGGCACCGAGGGCTCCTGCCACAGCTCTTGTCTGGGGGTGAAGCTTCTGCCGACGCTCCCCGGGCTCCCCGCGTGTGAGGGGCGCAGGTGGCTCCTGGTGCCCACCACTGGGGGCTGCCCGGGGTGCCACTGGACTGGCCGCCCCCTTGGGGCTGACCGCGAGTGGGCCCCTGTGTTGCCCGTTTGAACACAGGCGGGAGCGCCCCCATGAGCTGGGGCCCCGCGGGGGGAGGGGCGCGGAGGAAGCTCTCTGCCCCCCCGCCGGTGACTGATGTCCCCAACCCTGCTGGCCAGGCGACAGTGCCCCCGTCTCAGGGAGGGCCCTCTCCCCACTTTCCGGGGCACCTGGCGCGGTGCCGCCTCGCAGGAGCCCTTGGTGACCTGCTGAGGAATTTAGCGAACCTGTTGTCACACTGCTGGTGGCCGCAACCAGCTGGGGGGGGGTGTTTGCAGCACAGCAAACCCAGGTGCCAGATGGGGGTCGGGCTCCCCTCCGTGAGCCCCCTTGCCCCGCGCCACGCCCACCTCCCCACTCTCGAACCCGGAACCCGCCCCTCAGGCAGCTGCACCGTCTGCCGGCTGGTGAGGGCGGCCCCTCCTGTGTAGGCGTTTTGTTCACTGTCCAGGACAGAGGCCGCTTGTATGCACCTAGTGAGGCCTGGACGGGCGAACGGGTGGGTGCACCTAAGTCAGGGCGCCCTCCGGCCGTGGACGTGGACCTGTCTCCGGCTCCGCCTGGGCACGCAGCAGGGCGCGTGCCTGGCTTTCTGAGCAATTAGGAAGCAGGCAGGGCCTGTGACAGCCAGACCCCAGCCTGGGCCGCTCGGGGTCCGGCCGGAGACAGAGGTGGGGGCCTCGCCACCCCCATGAGCCCGGGGTGCGGCCGCCCGGGGGCCTTGCCCTCCCAGGGCCCAGGCTGGGGTGGGTGCTGCTCTGCCTTGTCCTTCGACCCCAGTCACACAGCACAGAGCCTGTGGCTGCTGGGGGCTGCAGCCCGTCTCGGCCTGCGGGGCTCTGGCCGAGCCTGCGGTGGGGTCAGCAGGACGAGCTCCCGGGGCGTCCAGGGGCGCAGCCCGTGCCCCACCGCGGGCCCTCTGTCCACACCTGTGGTGCCCCCCGCCGGCCCCTGGGGCGCAGGCAGCCCGCGGGGCGGGGCCGCAGGGTGCTGGGTGCTGGGCGGCCCGCCGGCTGGGAGCCACAGCGCGGGTCTCTTCCGAGGAGACGTCAGACTGGGGGAGGGAGGTCTGGTGTCCATGTGCGCCCCGACCTTGCTGTGGGACGGGGTCTCGGGGGTCCTCAGGGGGGCAGGAAGGGGTGGCCCCCGGGCATGGGAGGCTCCCCCACAGCTCTGTGAGGTTAGACGCAAGGAGAAAGAAAAGTGCACGCAGGGCTCTGGGTCCGCTCCCCTCGGTGTCGCCGCCGCCCCCCGCGGGCCCTGCTCCTTCTGTGACGTGGGCCGCGAGCGTCGGGTGGGGCGTCCGTGCAAGGAGCAGAGAGCCGCTCCGTGGGGGCTTCAGGTGACTGGACTGAGGCACAGAGTGGCCCTTGGCCCCCAGCCGCCTGCTTCCAGCCTGCAGCTGGGAGCCGGGCTGAGGCGGGGAGGTGACAGCCACCGAGCTCCTGTGGTGCAGGGGGCGGGGCAGCCCCGGGGGCGGCTGGTGTCATCCACCGGGCGGAGGGGGGCCCCCCCGCGCGGCTGCAGACCCCTGTCCTGGGGCCGCGTGGGAGCTGCGTGCCTCCTTCCCCTGGGCAGCACCCCCCTGCTCCCGCCCGGGCCCCGCCCCTTCGGGTGGGGCTGGGGCTGACCCTGGCTGCTGCGCCCCATCCCGCCCGCCCGCTGCGGGGCGCCCGCCAAGGGCTCAGGTCTGCTTGCTGAGCCGCCTCTCCTGTCCCCAGATGAAGGCCGCCGTGTCCCGAGGGGGTGACCACAACAGTGAGGATGGCAGCTTCCTTGAAGCCACCAGCTCCCGGCGGAGCCCTTCCCGGGACCAGCTCAGCGACGTGAGTACCCTCGGTGCGTCGAGTGCGGGGCCGGCCTCCCGCAAGTGCCCTGAGCCGCGCATCAAGCAGCTTCTCAGGAACCAGGACTCCCCATCCAGAGGAGTTTAGAGGAGGAGCAAGGCTGGGGCCGGAGGCTGCGCAGGGGGTGGGGCGAGGCTCTCTGCCCCGCTGGGGCGGGCACAGGCTGGTGGCAAGATGGACAGGGAGGCGGGGCGCTGGGGCGGGAGCCGGGCCCACGCCAGGCCCGCGACTGCGGGTCACGTGCCGAAGCCGGACCACCCCCTTCTCCGGTCCCTGGGACAGGCCCTGTCAGCTCCGTCGGGGGTGGGCGACCTGGATGCCGAGGTCCCCAGTGACTGGGGACACAGCCTCAGTGTCCCGGAACACAGGTCCCTGAGCTCAGGTCCATGGAGGTGGCCCGGACCCGTTATGGGGTCAACCTGAGATTGGGCCAGGCGGGGAACGGGGCGGCCCTCACCGCGGGGGCCCGGGGGGAGGGGCTGGAGTGGGGGAGGGGACCCTGGCTGAGGCCTTTGTCCGCCGGACCCCCAGCTGCAGGAGAGCCCCGCAGAGACCGCAGTGAATGGAATGAGTCGTCCTCATTATCATCTAAATGGAGGCGTGGGGGGGTGGAGGGGGCGAAGGCCGAGGAGCCCAATTGCCCGGCTGGGTCTTGTTGCCACAAGACTGGAAAAGAGGCCGGTAAGCGTGTGGAGCGCCCTCCTTCCAACTCCCCTAATTGTTGGCCTGGAAGAATGAAGGGGACTCTGAGTGCGGCAGGGCCCTGGGGGGGGGGCGGCCTGGGGGCTCTGCTTGGCGGGGACCCCCCGCCACCGACCGGGGGCCTGGCGGGGGCCTGCCCGCGGACAGGAGGGCCCCACAGCCCCAGCAGAAGCCAGACAGGGGTCCCTGTCAGAAGGGAGCAGCCCCACCCTGCTCGCTCCCCTGCCCCCGGAAGGGTCTTTGTGCCTGGACCCCGAAGGCCGTGAGGGCTTCACCCGCCACCGTGTTAGGGTGAAGCGGATCCGAATGTGGGCCTCAGGCTCAGCCGGGCTGTCCAGGGTGCTGGTTCTCAGCTGTGTCCTCTCCGTGGCTTCAGTCCTGGCCTCCGGGAGGGGCCTGCAGGCCGTCCTGGGGGCCTGGCTTCTGTGCCCAGGGATGGTGGCACCCGGGCTGGGCGGGACTGTCGGCCTTTGAGGCTGCGGCCTGGTCACTGACCGTCCTCTCCCTTCCCACAGAGCTCGGCGCAGGCGGTCTCGGGCAGAGGCTACTCCGTAAGTCACCCCTCAGCGATGCGCGTCCCGTCCACCCAGAGCCCCCTTCTGAACTCTGCCTCCGGGGTCAGGCCCTCAGAGGGGCCCTGGCTGGTAGCAGCTGGCCAGGAGAGCGGGCTGCCTAGGGCCGGGGATGGGCCGCGGTGGGCGGGGGTGCAGAGGAGGGAGTGCGGTCCTGTCGGGTATCACTTGGCCTTGAGGGTCCTGGACACGGAGCAGCTGCCCCCAACTCCCTCGCTCGGCCCGGCCGGAGAGGCCTGGCCCTGGGCGGGAGGCCTGCAGTGGGGGCCGCCCTCGCCGCAGCTCGCCCCAGGGAGCAGCCCTGCCTCCCCTCAGAACTTTATTTCATTTCCCCTGAAGTGTCGGGAGAAACGTGGATGACACGGTAAAACCCAGAGCTGCAGAAAAGCCAGCCCTGCAGAGTTACTGCCCTGCGGGCTCAGTGGAGGCGGGAAGCCAGGCCTAGGTTCCACCCGACTCATCCAGAGCTGCTGATTTACTGCCCGTCCCAGAGGCCGGGGCCTGCGGGGCCTCTAAATCCCCGTGGCTTGTCCGAGCGTCTGCGACTGGCCCGCCTGCCCTCCGCCCTCTGGCGGCCCTCGCCACCGCAGCTGCCCGGGCCCAGGCCACACACTTGGGGCAGGGGCCCCCTGTGGCCCCGCTTGTCCGTCCGCACGGTCACGGTTGGCGGGCGGGGCTGTCCCCACCCAGCAGTGACTGCTGTCCAGGCAGCGCTGGCCACGACCTGGCTGCGGCGGGAACGGGACAGGCCGACACGCTGCGGGGGGACTGGGCCAGGGACAGGTGAGTGGGGGCAGAGTGCCACCCGCGGGCAGGGCGAGGGGCCCTTGCGGGTCCCGAGGGTCTCAGAGGGGCTGGGCCCAGGGACGCCCGGTTGGCGCCTCCCGCCACGCCTGAGGCCCCAGGGCACCTCACCCGAATCGCTGTGGCGGGTGCAGCCTGCTCCCCGGGTGGCTGTGGTGTTCCCTGGAGGGGAACCGCAAGGAGCGCGTGGGCGCTCGCCGCGGGCCCCAGGCCGCAGCACAGAGCCGCCGGTGGCAGCAGGGAGCGCCCGCTGGCTGCGAGGCTGCGGGGGGCTCCCAGCGATGTCTGTGGACGCACCCAGGCCCCCAGGTGGCTCTGCGGGGCGGGGGGGGCGTGCAGAACCTGCGGGGCCGCAGGCAGGAGCGTGGCGCTCTCACCGGCGAAGCCAGGGCTGGGGCGGGGGCCTCGCAGAGCAGAGGAGCCCCCGGCCCAGGGTGCCCTGCCCAGCAGGAGGTACGGGTCTGGGGCCGGGGGCCTGCGGGGTCCCCACGTCAGAACTCTACCGGGGCGCCCTCCGCAATGCTGGGTGCCCACGTGGGCCAGGGCCCTGCTGTGTGTGTGCATGTGCCTGCCCTGTGCGTTGGCATGTCACATGCATGTCTCCATGCATCCCTGGCGGGGCCGTGTTTGCCTGCTTGTAGACATTTTATTTCTCCGTGCACCTACGTGTGCCTGGGCCTCCCATGCGTGCTCATTGGGACGCGTGTGTCTGTGGGTGCAGCGGGTGTGCGTGCCCGTGACTGGGCGTGTGTGCCACACGTGTGTACCTCCATGTAGGTGTCTAGGAGCCTGTATGTGACGGTCACTCTGCGGGCATGCCCCGTGTGTCTGTGGGGACCTGTAGCCACGTGGCATCATGTGTCCCTTGCCACCTGTGTGTGTCTGCGGTTGGGGCTTCAGACCCAGCAAGGGTGGCCCCGTCCCCCAGCGTCCCTGCACTAGGTGATGCTGGCCTTTTGTCACCTGACCTGGCTCACAGATGGTACTTAAAGGGGTTAAGTCACCCAGGGGCATCCCCAGCAAACTCCCCGCTACTGCTCATCCTCAACAGCTTCTGCTCCGGAAGCGCAGCGCGCCCCACAGCCACGAGACCGCCGCTGGCGCCGTGAAACGAGTTAGAAAGTAATTTCCTTAACTTGGCTGCTAGCAGCCGGGGACATGCTGACCCCACCATCACCCTGCTGGGTGCAGGTGCAGGGCCGGGGGCCCCGCTCCCGCCGAGAAATGCGGATCTTGTCGCTGCCAAGGCCGGGGGCAAGGGCAGGAGCCCTGATTCGGGGGTGTGGAGACCCCGAGCCACGGTGCGCCAGCCAGGCAGGCCTCAGCCAGCGCCTTAGCTCCCCCCACCCTCACAGCCACTCTCCGAGGTGGACGTTGTCACCACGATGACCCCAAACCTCTAGACGGGACACGGAGACACCACCGCCAGGAGGGCCCCTGCTCAGGGCCTCGCTCCCAGCTGAGACCTGGGGCGGCAGGCGGCCCCAGGCCCCGCTCTGGTCCCAGCGCCACCCTCCTCAGACCCCTCGTCCCATCAGGAGGGAGCCTGGCCTTCCCTCCGCCCACCTCGCGCCCCGTGGCGCCCGGCGCCACGCCACCAGTCTCCTCAGATGACCCGCGCCCCTTCCCCAGGTGTAGGTCTGGCCCTCGACCACAAACCAAGGTGTGAAATGAGGGCCGTTTCTCACCCCTCGCCCTCCGCCCCCGCCGCTCCGTCCCGCATTGACCGAGGGCCTGCCGTGCTCCTGCGGCAGGTGCTGGAAGGAACTGAACAGCCCCGGGGGGGAGGGGGAGGGGGTTCGTGGCGGGAAGGAGAGGATGGCAACAAAGCCCACAAGTGGGAGGCCAGGCGCAGGCCCCAAGCTGGGAGGGGCCGCCCTTCCCCCGCGATGGTCCCCACGTGGGCCGCCGGGCTGCAGGGTCCTGAGAGGGCAGCCACGGGGAGGGGAGGCCTGGTCCCCGGGGGCAGGACGAAGTGCCCCCCTCTTGGCCCTCAGTTGTCGGATTCATAGGCGCCCGTGGACCCCGCCTGCTGGGGAGTGTCAGCGCTTAGTGGGCAGGACACAGGCCTGGGCAGCGCATCAGGAAATGGGTGAGGCTGCCCCACGTGTGCGGCGGACACCCCCCTCTTCATCGCCTTGGCGGAAGGTGCCTGGTGCCCTCACACCCACCCCCAGGCGCTGCCCAGCACTCAGCCCCACAGCCCCTGGACGGCAGAGCCCCCTGCCTGCCTCTCGGTGGGGCCCCGCCGCAGCCCTGCCCAGCGGTCGGCCCCGGTCCCTTGGAGCGTTGAACACAGTGGCGGTTAAATCCCCAGGGTCGTGGGCCCTGCCGTGGAGGTGGGCGTGGGCGGCAGGCTGCAGGGCCCAGGAGAGCCCCAGGGAGGGCCGGCGGAGCAGGTGGGAAACAGGCCGCCTGCCCGGGGCCGGGCCGAGGACGGGAGCCCAGAGAGGGGGTGCCGGCTGCCGGGGAGGGGCCCCGGGGGCTGCAGCAGAACAGGCCTCGAGCCTGAGTCTCACTGGCTCTTCCAGCCATCTGTAAAGGCCCCCCCTTTTTATTCTGAACTGGGGGCAGGCCCGTGAATGAGGCACCGGCTGGCGAGGGGTCGCTCGCTCTGCAGGGACTGTCAGGAGGAGCCACGGGGGCCCTGGACGGCGCCTGCGGGGGGCTGCTCGGTGCGGTGGGTGGCTGTCGTGCGGCCTCTCCCTGCACCCCGCTGGGTGAGCCGGGGCCCCGCGTGGCCCCGCTGCGGTGCGGACCCGCCGCCGCGCGGGCCTCTGGCGGCTCCCCCTGTCGTGTCAGCCACCGAGGCTCTGGGAGGAGCCCTGGTCCGGTCCCTGGAGGCGACACACAGATGCTCCAGACACACCCCTGGGTCCCCGGGGCCGCCGCCGCCACAGCTGGAGGGCAGGGCGGGCTGGGAGCGCGGGTGGGCGCGGGGCGGCCGCCGGGAGCTGAGATGCGATGATGTGGAACAGGCCCTGCTGCTGGGACTCACAGGTAGGAATTAGCGTTAACAGTGCTCTGTTAAGACTCTTTGTGTTGATCAATAATTCATGAGGCAGTTAGCGCTTTGAGTCTGACAACACGAGAATATATTGATACAGTCGGCTCTGCCAAAGGTCAGCGTGTGCGGCGGGGCCGGGCCGTGTTCTCTTCTTCCTGGGATGCGGGCTCATCAATTATTCAGGCCCCGCCAGGGCTGCGTGGGAAGCGCGACTAATGAGCAAAAGGGAGATGGGTTTGATGCCAGACCGGCCTCTGGGCAGCCTGGCCCCCAGCAGAGCAGGTCGGGGGGGCGGTGCCAGGGCCCCCAGCACGCGCTCCAAGGCGGTGACTGTTGCTGTCCCTGAGCGTTTGTGGAGCCTGCCCACGCAGGCACCCAGGTAGAAGAGGGAGGAGAACCCAGAAATCCCCTCTCGTGGGGGCCACGGAGGGAGGGGCAGGCAGGGACCGGGGCGGGGAGCGGGGTGTCACAGCAGGTGTGGCCGGGGTGGGGAGTGGACCCTGCGTGGCCCACATGTGTGCCTGAGAGTGAGGGCGCGTGGCTGCGTGCCTGCCATTGCAGTCAGCGTGAGACCCCGGGTTTTCCCCAAGGGCGGTGACGGGGCACCGGACAGGGCTGGGGGTGGAGGGCGCAGGGTGCCCTTCGGGGGGCAGCAGGCGGCCTGAGGGCTGGGCAGGGCTGCGTCCTCAGGGGCTGTGGGGCCGCTGCCAGGGAGGTGGCCCCGCGGCTCCTGTGGCAGCGATGGCCCCCCGTGCTCTCTGCTAAGTGGGTCTCACCATCGCTCGTCACTGCCCGGCTGTCAGGCGGCAGTAACTCACTTGTTAGTTGGGCGACTAGAGCTTTGTTTTGCTTTAAAGCGTAAACACTCAGGGGAGGTGCGCAGGCCGAGCAAAGAAGGGCGGCTCTCAGGCCCACTGCCTGCGAAGGGGCGACTGGGGCTCCCCGTCCCGCGGGAAGGCGGCCCCAGGCCGTCGGCGCGATGCTGCCCTCTCGGCCTCCGCTTCCCCACCTGTACGGAAGCCGGCTGGTCCGCGGGGGTCCCCGCCTGCCCTGTCCTGCCGGCCCCGCAGCCCAGGGCTGCCACCTGGCGGGGCCCAGACCCAGAATGGAACTGGCCTTTGACGTGGCCCCTCCCGGCTGCTCCCGCCCCGCCACCCGCCGCGCCGCTCAGCCGGCCCTGCCCCCCCATGCAGCCTGGGCAGCAGGAAGGGGGGGGCGCCCCAGCCAGTGGGGGGCGCTGAGCCGCGGGCACCCGCTGCTGTCGGCACAGCCTGCGCCTCCGGCCACGCACGCGGGAGACCCGAGCGCACGGGCGCCGCCCACAGATGAGGGGCCACTGGCCAGGACCCCCAGGTGCCCAGGGGAGGGAGGCCTCAGCATGGGCCGGGACACGCAGGCCAGTGCACGCTGCCCACACCGAGGACCTGTGCCACCTGGAGCTCCCTGGTGTCCCCAGGCCCATGGAGAGCATGTGCCCACCTCAGGCCATAGCCGCGCCGCCCTGTCAGGGTGTGGGGTCGGCGTGAGGTCCCGCCTCTCAGACCTCTCCTCTAGCCCAGGGGGCAGGTGGAGATTTCCACGGCCTTCCTCGCCCCCTCGGGCTGGGGTCCTTTGCAGGCCCCTCGGCTCTCTGACCCCTGGATTGAGGCGGGGACCCCGCGTGGGGAGCTGGAGGTGGTTTTCAGCACCTCGCCCCGGAGCAGGGCCCAGACCACCCTCCAGGACAGCCCGTGGGCCCCTCTGTCTCCACTGCTCCAAGGAGACCCCCGTCCCTCCCCTCCCACCCGCTACGGGCATCTCGGGGCCAGGCCCAGACGCTGTGCCATCGGGCGGGAGCCCGGGGCTCAGCGGCAAGGCCCCCTGGCCCATGGATTTTTCATGCCTTTGAGAACCGGGAGGCAGGTGGCCTCCTCCGCGCTCTGCTGTGAAGCGGCGATTGACGTCCGTGCTGCGAGGAGAGAGGGCGGCTTCTGCGGCTGCTGGGTGTCTCCCGCTTCAGGCGGGGGGGCCTGCTGGTGCCCCGGGCCCGCAGGGCAGGGTCTGTGAGGGGGGCTGCGCCCAGGCCCCGGGGGTCGGGTGCCTCCAAGGGCTGGGCCGGCGCGAGGGAGGGCAGGGCGGGTGCCGGCAGCCGTGAGGGTGGCGACCGTGGCGAAGACGGCGTTGGGGGCGGCTGGGGCGGCGATGGCGGCAGCAACCGTGAGGGCGACTCCCGTGGGGCCCCGACGGCCCGCGCTGCGCCCGCCTCCGCTCGCGCACCCCCGACGCGCCCGGTGGGGAGGCCCTGCTCTGGCGGCGATGAGGAGGCCGCAGCGGCTCCGGGCGGGGCAGGGGCCAGTGCCCGGGTGCGGAGGGGGCAGGACGTGGGCCCTGACGGGCGGCACTCTGGCCCGGGGAGCGCGGGAGGGCAGGGAGGGGGCGCCGCCGAGCTGCTCCTCCGGGCGCGGGCGCCCTGTTCTCAGGGAGGGGCGGGCTTGGGTGTTTGTGAGAACGCTCCAGGTTTTAAAATGTTGGCTTCGAGTAGAAAAGAGAGTCCGGCTGAACCAAGCGCATGTGCCACCCTGCCCAGCTGTGGTTCTCCGGCCTCGTCAGAAGGCGGCCACGCACCCGTGGGCAGGACCTGGGAAGGCGGTCGTGTGTCCCGCTTCCTGTCGCATCTGGGATCACACGTGGCGCACGGGGACCCCAGGGCGTGGAGGGGCGGGGGTTTGGGCTTTGGGGTGCGGGTCCCCGAGCGCCCGTCTGCCTCTGGCTGGTCGCTCGCCAAGTGGCCGGGGGGGCCCGGGGGGCCGTGCTCAGGCCGCCCCAGTGGGTGGTGCCCTCCCCACGTCTGACTCCGGTCGCCCCCAGGCCCCGGTGCAGGCAGAGGGGCGGCCCCGGGCGGGTGTTCTCCTGAGCCCGGGTCCCCCTGCGTGGCCAGGCCCGGAGGGGCGGCGGGCCAGTCCAGGGGCGCTGCGAGCTGGGGGGGCAGGGGCGTCTCGCCACGGCCAGGGGCCCTCCCGGGGGCTTCAGCCCTCGGGGCTGCGAACGGAGCAGGCGCGTTCCGGGCTGGGACCCACCTCGCGAAGACCCCCCGCAGTCCCCAGGCTCCTGGGTCCCAGTGCCGCCACCGCAGCGGGGAGCCCCGGGCTCTTGGCCCCCAGGACGATGGCGGCGGCGGCGGTGGCCCTGGGACGCCGCAGTGGAGATGCGCTTGCGCCGTGTTGCGCCGAGACGCCCGCGCTGTCCTGCCTTCGCTCTGCTCTCCTTTAAGCCGCGGGACCGCCCGCGGGCCGGCCAGGGTCTGGCTCAGACACGGGGCCTGGTGGGGCTGCGCAGCATCCGAGTGGGCGCTGCCCCCAGACGCGGTCGGCTCCCCTCCTTGCCCCGCGCAGCCCCCTGGGCTGGGTCTGCCCGCCCTCCCTCCCTGACCTCCACCTGGACCCCTCCCGCTGGAGTGATGCCCCCAGGGCTGCCCAGCCCAGCCCGACCCCTGAAGGTCGCCTCTCCCGGCCGGCCCCGCAAGACAGATGTGGCTTGTCCCTCCTCGCCCTGATTAATGGCCGCCTTCAATTCCAGCTCCGCTGCAGTCAGACATTAATTCCACAGGACTTACTAACTGGAGTCATCGACTCCGCGGCTGACAGGCGTGTGCTGTGCGGTTAATTATGGGGTCCGTGCGCGCCCCGGGGAGCACCCCAGCCCTCCTCGCCGCCGCGTCGTTAAGCTCTCACAGTGACACCACCAGCGGAGTAGCTGTGAGAAGAGATGGGAGGTGCCCTGGGGCGGCTCCAGTGGCCCCTGGGCCCGGGAGACAGGCCCATGGGGGCGAGGCCTGAGGCCTGCCCCCCGGGGTTGATGGGCGTGCCCTTGGGGGCCGCCAGCTGTGCAGGGAGAGGCCGACCGCGGTCTCCGGCGGTGGCGGCTGCGTGGGCCGCGGGACGCGCCCCAGACCCACACTGCGCGCTCCCGGCACCGGGCCATTCCAGCCGCCGGTTGGCACCCTGACCTCCCCTCCGGCTCCAGCTTGCGGGGCGGTGACCCTTCGCGCGCCTCTCCAGCCCCCCTCCCAGGCGCCCCCCGTGCCCTCCGCACCCCAGTGGCCGCGTGGAAGGGGCCGGGGCCTGGAGGGTGTGTTTTCAGCAGCGCAGCCCTTTCGACGGCCATCATGGCCTTGCCGGGGGCACGGCGGGGGGGCGGGGGGGGTTCCTTCTTCGTGCTCTTGGAGGGGAAATTGCCGTGGTTCTGGGCCGTTTTCCCGGCTGGTTTGCGCGGTGCTGCTGCCCGTCCACGGGCCCGCTGAACGCACCTGGAGCGGCTTCCCTGCGGCGCATCTGCTGGGGCAAGCGGGTGGGCGCCGCCCCCGGCCCGGCCCGCGCCCTCGCCCTCCCAGCTGGCCCTGGGCTGAGCCGGGGCAGCGAGGCCCGCACTGGGCCCCTGTGTGCTCTGGGCGGTGGGTCTGCCTGTCAAGGGTGCTCCTGCGGCCTGGGCCCCGGGCCTGCTGGCGGAACGTGCCCCCCGCCAGCCCTGGGGCCCGGGACGGGCCGTGGGGCTGCCGGAGCCGCCACCTCCGCCCCTGCGACCGGCCCTGTGCTCAGGGGCGCGCCCTGTGGCCTCCGGTGAAGCCCGCCTGGCCGGGTGCCGGTGCCACAGGCGCTGCGGGGCCCTGGGCACTGACTGCCCCTCTCTCCCCACAGTGTGACAGCGAGAGCGACGAGGACGACGAGGTAAGCCCCCGCTGCAGCCCCTCGGGGTGTCCTGGAGACCTGGCGGGAAGGTCCTGGTTCTCCTGGGGGCGTCCAGGGGCACGCGGCCTCCCCAGGTGGGGGCGCCTCCCAGGCCCCGGGGGTGGGGGCAGGCGAGGCTGCAGCTCCTGGCCTGCGTGTCTGGGCCTGGGCCCTAACCGCCGCCCCGCCCCGACCCCCGAGCGGAGGCTTCCGCGCATTTTGGCCTCCCAGCTGCCCTCGCTTTTCAGGGACAGCGAGGGCCCCATTTCCTGGGACGTAGGCGCCGTGGTGTTCAGCGCAGCAGAGCCCCCGGGCCTTTGCGCAGGCACAAAGAGAGCAGCCTCCGTCCTAGGCACCTGCCGTGTGCTGAGCTCTGCGCCGGGGGGCGGGGGTGTCAGCGACTGCTTGTCCCAAAGCCCCGACAGAGACCTGGAGACAGGCACAGAGGCAGGCGCCTGCCGAGGCCACACCGCCGGGACCCGAGCAGGCTCGGGGCGCCGCCTTTGGCAAACAAGTGGATGTCCTGCCTGAAGAGTTGGAGGTGGTAGGGCGGGCGGGGCCCCTCGTCCCTGCAGGGGACCAGCGTGAGGGAGGCCAGCACTCTGCACGGAGTCCCTGAGCCTGAGGCCCAGAACCCTGGCTTGTGTTCGAGCACGTTTTTGTCAAGTGGAGCCATCGCACCTGGAGGTCTGGGTGGGGGCTCCGTGCGTACCTGTGCGCTCCTGGGTCTGGATGAATCAGGCTGGACGGGCACTCGGCGGGGAGGCAGCCGGGAGCCAGGAGACCCGCCGTGGGGTGTGGGGAGGCGCCAAGGACAAGCGTTTTGTCCCAGGGGCCTTGGAGGGGACGGGCCGGCGTCAGTGTGGACGGATGAGGCCTGTGCGCCTAGGACGCGCCTTCCATGGCGGGCTGGCCCCGACGCTGTCCTGGAGGCGGGCGCCCACCCCGCAAGGCGCGGCCGAGCAGCCGGGGCCAGGGGAGGCAGGAGGCGCGCACAGCAGATGGTCTCGCTGCCAGACTGCGGTTCATGTCTACCTGCTTTTTTATTGGGAAAATATGAAGTGAAAAATTGCGTGGGGCTTGTTAGACGGCCCGCGGGGCCCCCACTGGCTGCCGTCTGCCAAGCGGCCTGGCCAGGTGACCGGCTTGTGGTCACAGCCTGTGGCCACAGCCTTCCTCAAGGGATGTCTGACTGTCTGGCCTCCCTGCCAGACCCCTGCTGCCAGCGCTCGGCCTCAGCGGCTGCCGTGGGAACAGGGCTGCGGGCGGGGGCGGGGGCCGGGCCGGACGCGGCCTCGGGCCAGGCTCCCACTGCCGGCCCTCCACTCTTGGCACCTCGGTTTCTTCTTCACTAAATGGGGTCGCAGTGGTGCCGGGGGTGGAGGCGGACGTTCTGGGCGTTGCCCGGAGCACTTGGCCCGGGGACGGGTCCGTGGGGGGACCTGCCTCCTCCCAGAAGCCCTGTCGGCTGCAGGCGCATCAGGGTCGGGGGCAGCTGCCCACATGCCCTCCCTGCGTCCCGTGCATGGGCTTGCGCACGCAGGCGTTCACACGGGACACACACACCCGCCAGCACACGTACACCCGCCGTTGCTCAGGAAGCCCGTGGAGCTCGCGGGCTCACGACTCAGTGCCGCCGCCTGGGCGTGCGCGGCAGGGCTCCATCCTGTCGCACTTGTGGAGGCCAGGCGTCCGGGCCACGCTCCCTCCAGAGGCTCCAGGGGACGGTCCTTCCTGCCTCGTCCAGCCCGTGGCGGTGGCGGGTGTCTCGGCTTGTGGCCTCATGGTTTGTCTCTGCTTCTGTCCTCAGGGGCCTTGTCCCCCGGGCCTGTGCCTCTGCTCTTCGTAGAAGGACACGGTCTGGAGGCCACAAGTCCCGCCGGTCTCGGGCCGCCCCCAGGGACTGTGCTGGGTGCAGGCGGCCTCGGGCAGCCCTGCCGGGGGCTCTTGCCCCTCTGCTGCCACCTGCAGGCGCCCATCCGGGAGGCAGAGACCTTCCAGCCGTGGGCGTTCTCCCACGGCAATCCCAGCTCCAGCCTCGGCTCCTCCTGAGCCCAGAGGCGCCCCCGCCCCAGGCCGCCGCGTCCCAACCGCAGCTCTGCCACACGCCAGCAGCATGATGCCGGTCGGGACGCCTTGCTTCTCTGCCATCAGGGACCTGGCGTGACAGTGGTGTGTCCTCACAGGGCAGGCGTGAGGGCCCAGCAGCCTCATGGCCACAAGGCATGAGCGTGCACCGGACACACAGCGAGCGCTCAGCGTTTGCTGCTTTTATGGCAGGAAACCTCAGGGCTTTGGGGATTGATGGGGCGGGGGCGGGGGTAGGGGGCGAAGGGGACGCAGGTATCTGGTAAATAATCCAAACGGAACAGAGCTGCCCCAGGCTGTTCCCTGCGGCCTCCTCCCTCCAGCCGGGGAGCCGTGGGTTTGCAGGTGTGTGGGTTGGAGTAGGCAGGTGCTGGCCGGCAGGGGCCCAGAGCTGGTTCCTGTGGCCTGGGAGCCACCCTGGCCCCCGCCCCCGCCCCCGCCACGGGGGCAGGTCTCCCCTGCACCTGGGCTCCAGGCCGCGGGTCCCTGGACGCCCGTCCAGAGCTAGCCCCCGACCCCATGGCAGCGGAGAGGTGGGCACCTCCGCCCCGGTGAGCTGCGTGGGCTTTCTCATCACTCTCCCGGGGCAGCCTGGGTGGGCATCGGGCATGCACTTGGCCTTCCTGTGGGGTGGTGGGTCCTCCCGGACCTGAATTCTGCAGCTGCCCCCAGAGCGGCCCCAGGGGACGGTCCCGTGGCCCCGGGGTGGTCAGGGTCAGTGTGGGCTGCCTGTGGCCACTCTGCACGTGGGGCAACCACTGGTGTGTCTCCCACTTGGCTTCCCCGTTCCAAACACGGTGAAACCGAGGCGCAGGTAAGGCAGAGCTTACATTGGACAGGTGTGGGGGCTCTGTGATCCTTCACGTCCAGTTCCTTGACCTAGCCACTTTGTGACTCAGTTTCCCCCTCAGTAAACCGGGCATAGGAGCCGTCCACACTCGTTGCTTTGAGCCGGGGAATAGTTGAGCCCACAAAGCGTTAGCCTGCGCGCCCTGACCAGGTAGCAGAGATAGAAGGGCGACTGCTCCGAGCCCCACGCGGGCAGATCCACGCCTCGGGGCTGGATTAGTCGGGCCTGCCCGCGCCCCGCCTCCGCCCCGCCTGCCCGCCCGCGCTCACTGGCCGCTGCCTGCGCGCCAGCCAGCAGTGCGCCCTTTGCCGCCCGGCCCCTCGCTGCGCCCGACGGCGCTCAGGCCCCAGAGCTCCCCGAAAGCCGCCCAGAGCGCTGAGCCGGCACGGCGGACATGCGCGCCCCGGGCTCGGGCTCCAGCTAGGCAGAAGCGGGCCAGGAGAGGGGCCACCTCGACGGGCCCAGGCCGGCGGGGGCCCGCGCTCCGCTGCCCGCGTCCATGCCGCGGGGCTCCGGCTCCGACCAGAGGACTAGCCGTGATCGCCAGCAGAGCGCGCTGGACTCACAGCGCCCGCGCGGTAAGTGCGCGCTGTTGGCTTCGGGGAGGGACCTGGGACTTTGGGGACTGGGGTCCAGAGAGCAACGGTCCCCTCTAGAGCAGCGAGGTGCGGGAGAGGCCCCGGGCGCTATGTTCACCCGGTCTCTCCCAGGAACTGGGTGCGGGAAGACCCAACTATCTTCTGGTTGCACCCCCGGGGTGCACGTGGGGACAGGCGGTCAGGATGCAGTTGGGCTGAGCGTCCCGGGCCTCGGCCGGGGAGCTGGGGGGCCGCGGCGGAGGCGGGGCCGGGCGTCGTGGCGGGGGAGCGCGCCTTTGTCTGCGGCCCGCGCGGGCTGGGCCCCCTGGGTTCCCGGCGCTGCTGCGCTCACCTGTCCCGAGTTGGAGTTCTTTGTCTGGGGCGGGGCGCGGCCGGAGGAGGCTGCCCCGAGGGTCGGGTCCTTTCAGACAAAGCGCGTGCAGTGCGCGGTGGCCGAGGCCCTGGCGCCGCGGGGATTAGGCACCTCAGGGGACACAGTGCTGGCCCTGACACCCTGCCCCGCACAGCCCTCCACCGGGACCCTGGCCCTGCAGCACGGGGACCTCCCACCTGTACTTCAGCCTGGAGGGACCCCTTCCCCCGCCCCCGAACCAGCTCAGTGACTGGAGACTGGAGAAGGACGTGGCTGCCGGCTCCTGTGGTCGCGTCCCCATACATAATCCTCGGCAAGTGATTGTCACGGGTCTGGTGGCAGCTCTGGGGCTGCTCAGCTGCAGACCCTCCCAGGCTGGAAAGGACCCAAGAACTGGGCACAGGGGCGAGTCCCAGCTGGGGCCTCAGTACCTGTGCTGGGAGAGGCCCCGCCCCGAGTGGGCGTGGCCGGGCCTGGCCGGGTGCTCCGCGCTGGGTGGAAGCCCACCGGCCTCTGGCCAGGTCGCTGCCTGCTGGGAGTGGGATCCCTCCGCTTCCCTGACCAGCCTTGAGCTGTGGCGCAGCCGGCCTGGAGCCCACGTGGAGGAGAGAGGCCTGCCTGCCTTTGCCAGCAGGGCATCCCCGGGGTCTGGGGGCTACACCCTGCTTCTGGCGTCGGAGCACTGCCTCCTGGCCCAGTGCCTTGAACCAGACCAGAACTGAGCAGAGCCTCGGGACCTAGGTGCACTTGCCCCCCCAGCCCCCACGCCGGGCCCTGACCCGGAGGAGTCACACCCACAGCGCTTTCTGAGCAGTGCGCTCACAGATTCCTCTTCTGACCAGGACTCGCTGGTTTTGTGATGCTCCCTCAGGGGAGGGGTTCCACCAAGGGAGTGCGTGGTGGGCGCAGGGACCGTCTCACCGGCCCCCCTGCTCCCCACCCACCCGCAGGCCCCACAGACCAGGCAGCTGCTGGTGGGCTTGGGCCTCAGCCCCTCCCTCCTGGCGCCTCCCCGCCCAGGGCCCGACCAGCACCCCCGCTGAGCTGGGGCGCCCCTGAGGGACTGGCAGAGCAGCCAGTGATGGAGACCTGGCAGGGCCGGTGGGGGGGCTTCGTTAGAGGAGCGAGAAGCTGGGGGGCTGAAGGAAGAGGTCAGGTGGCTGGCGCCCCTGCATCGGAGCCAGGCGCGCGCGTGTGCGTGCCCCGCCCCGTGCTGGGTGACAGGGTCACAGGTGGCCTCCGTGGGCTGGCGGGTGGGGGTGTGGCTCCTGTGTCGCCCACAGTCAGCTCGGGAAATGCAGCCTGGGCTCCCCCTTCCCTGCCCAGGACCCCCCTCCACTTTTGTGGCTGCCTCTGGGCCTGTCCCCGGCTCTCAGGGGTCCCTGCCCCGCCTGCCATCGTCTGTTTTCGGGACTGCATTTGCTGCCATTCTTCCTGGTATAGGTTTTGGGGGCATGGTTACCAAGGTTACCATTCCAGTGCGACAGTGCGGGCCACCGTGCGTCCTGCGTTAACGGCTTCATTTTCCCCATGGACGGCAGCAGTCGGGCCGGGCGGGGCGGGGCGGGGCGGGGCCTCAGCCTCCCCGGTCTCGGCAGTGAGCCCCCGCGCACCCCGGCCGCCTGGGCGCTGTCTCCCCGCAGACCTGCTGCAGCCCCTTCACGGCCTGTCCCAACCGCGCCCCCAGCGCCACGGTCAGCGGGTGGTGCTCTGTCGCCTCAGACAGTGCCCGCACACTCTTTTCCTGCGTTGTTATGTCTTGTGGTGCGGCACATGTAAGAAAACTTACCTCCCTGGCGGCCGAGGCTCAGTGGATTGAGGGTTGACCTGCGAACCAAAAGGTCACGGGTTCGAGTCCCGGGCAGGGCACAGGCCTGGGTTGCAAGCCTGGTCCCTGGTGGGGGCGTGCGAGGGACAGCCAATCGATGGACGTATTTCTTGTGCGTTGACGCCTCTCTCCCTCTTTCCTCTTCCTTTCCCTGTCTGTCTAAGTCAGTCAGTCTTTAAAAAGAGGAAGGAAGGAAGAAACGTGCCGTCTTGGCCGTGTCTCAGCGCTCGGGGCCTAGTCGGGCACCCCCGCGTCCCCGCCCTCCCCCGCCGTCCTGCCTCTGGGGCCCCCAGTCTCTCAGCCTCTCCCCTGAGCGGGGGCACCGGCATTTGTGCTTCTGTGGCTGCCCCAGGTCCCTGAGCATTTTGTGCTCGTGGGTCATCCATGTTGTAGCACGAACCAGAATCCCCGCCTTTTTTTAAACATTTTACTTGTTTTTAGAGAGAGGGGAAGGGAAGGAGGAAGGGAGAGAGAGAAGCATCCATGTGTGAGAGAGACACACGCACGCGCCCCAGCCAGGGACCCCCCCGGCAGCCCGGGCGCGCGCCAACGGGGAGCCGCGCCAGCCGGGGCGGAGCTCCGCCCCCCCCCACCCCGCGGAGGCCGCCCGGCGCCCCGCTTGGCGGAGCGCGCACCCCGGGCTGGTCCCCCGTGCGTCCGTGGACACGGGCTTTACGCCTCCGGGCAGCTGTGAGGATGCTGCCGGGAACGAGGGTGTGCAGGTCTCTCTTCGGGTCCCGGCTTTCGTTCTTCGGGGGGCGCCCGGAAGTGGGTGCCGAGCCAGCGGGGAGGCGCGAGGGCAGGAGACAGAGACGCTCTGAAGCTGATGGCGGCAACGGCCAGGGGCTCCGGGCCTGCTGGCGGCGGCCTGGGTGTCGCTGCTCCCGGGAGCCACAGGCAGCCTCCTGCCAGACCTCGGGGGCGGCGCCGGCGCCGACCGCGCGCACGCGGCCGCCTCCCCGGGACGCGCCGGTTTCCCCGGCCCCCGGGGCGCCGTGCTCTGGGCCCTCGACACAGCACCGTGGCCACGGCGCCCGGGCTGGGGAGCTGGGGGGTGCAGGGTGGCCCGAGGGGGGGGCGGGTGGTGGCCTGCAGGCCTGGCGGTGCGTTGGGGGTGCCCTGGACTCTGCCGCCGCCGCCTCCAGACCCAGCGGAGCCCAGACTCCCGGGTGCCTGCCCCCCGCGTGGCAGGGCCTCACGGAGCCCCCTTGTCACCGCTGAGCCGATCACCCACCCATGCCTCCCCCACCACGGGTCCCCATCCTGGGCAGCCGCACGCCTGCCGCAAGGCCTGGGCCCAGCTGCCTTCTCCGTGGGGACTGTGCGTCAGAAGGAACCTGTCCCCCACCTGATCCCCGGCTGCCTTCTCCTTTCCAGGCATCCGTGGGCTCCGAGAAGCTCTTTGCCCCGGCAGCCGATAAAGGTGAGTGCCTCTCGCGGCCTGGGCTCTGGCCTCTGGGCGGCGCCTCAGGAGCCAGGGGCTGTGGCTGAGGAGTGTCCTGGGGAGAAGGCCAGGGGAGCTGGGGGCGGGCCCCTCCCTCCACACCTGTGGATGCGCCCCCGCCTCCCTGCGGGTTGGCCGCCAGGGCCCGTGCTTGCTCCACGGGAACGCAGCAGGCCCTCATGACCAGCCTGTCCATCCTGGCTGTGGCCCAGGGTGGGCGTCGCCGGCACACGTCCAGCACAGAAAGGGCCCCCTGGCTTGGATGGCTCCCTCTGGCTGTAACTGGACAGGACAGGGACGCGGGCAGTGTCCACAATGACGGCCGGCCCCCTGGCCCGGTCGCCTGAAACAACAGGCGTTTGGAGTCGCAGAGTTGTGGAGCTGCTCCCTCCGAAGGGCGGGGGGTGCGCCTGCTGCCGCCCCCACGCGGCCGGCAGACCTGGGCGCACCCCCGCCTTCCCGTCTGCACACGGGTCACGGCATCCCGAGCTGGGGTTGCGGCGCGCAGAGTGCTTCCGGGCAGCCGGCCCTCGGGGCCTGCGTCCAGGCCCGCCCTGGCCTCGGGGAGCGGGCGGCTGGGCCCTGCCTGGGGCCACAGGCCGTGGGATGGTCACGTGTGCGCTCACTGGGGCCCCCTCTGTGCAGGCGCCGCGCCAGGCGAGCAGACCGAGGCCAAGGCCGGGGCGGCGGCCAAGGTCTCGGGCCTGGAGCGCAGTCGGGAGCTGAGCGCGGAGCCGCCCTTCCTGCCCTCGCTGCGCAGCCCCGCGCCCTCCACTGGCCCTGGGGCCCCGCCAGTCAAGAAGGAAGTGACCGCCCTGCCCCGCCTCACCCCCCAGCCTCTGCGCGCGCCCCCGCAGCCCCCTGCCCCGCCCCCGACGCACGAGCCTCTGGCCCTGGGCACCTTCCACGGCCACGGGCGCGTCCAGGCTGCGCACAACAGCCTGCACGGCCTCAGGTGAGCGCGGGCGGGCCGGCCGGGCGGGGGCGGGGGCGGCCGGCAGGCACTGAGTCCCCGTCCCGCAGCAGGAGCAGCGGCGCCAGCCTCGGGCTCGCCAAGCGCGGGTCCCCGTCACCGCGCGGGCCGGGCAGCCCTCTCTCTACCTCACACTCGTCGCTGCGCTCCCAGGCCCAGCACCAGCACCACGCGGCGGCCATGTTCGCCGCCCCCGCGGCACTGCCCCCGCCCCCGGCGTTGCCGGCCAACAGCCTGGTCATCCCAGGACACCATGCCGGTAGGTCCGGGCACCCTTTGCAGGGGCCAGGGTCCCTGTTCCCTCCACGCGGTGGCTCTCGCCCCAGGGCAGGTGGCCGGGCAGGCCTGGGGAGAGGTGCACCCTCTCCATGCTCCAGACCTGGAGCCACTTGACCACGGAGGTGCCGGGCGCCCCGGAAGGCCGCCCTTTCTGGGGAGGCGGTGGGGTCGAGGTTCTCTGCGGCGTGGGCTGGGCTGAATTGCCGCGTAGAGGTGAACAGTGGCTTCTCCCTCCCTGCACCTTCTGGCAGATGCCCCCACTCGGGATTTCCCTGTGGGGCCCCCACCCAGGTCTTTCGAACAACCTGAGTCAGCCTGGACCGGGCTGGGGCAGCTCAGGGCCCCCAGGAAGGGGCCCAGGCGCGGTCCGGGTGGCCTGGCCGGGCAGGCCCCCTGCGGCCGGCGGGCCTCAGGGCTCACGGTCTTCTCTCTTGCCTTTAGATGCCAGCCTGTGGGTCTCATTCAGCCCGCCAATCATGTATTGCCAGCCTCACGCGGGGATTCTGATTGGTACTTGGTCACAGGCCCCTCTCTCCCCCGCACCCTGGGGCCCGCACCTAGCGAGCGGCCGCTGCGGCCTGGGCTGCCGGACCCCGGAGCGCCAGGTGACTACCCGCCTCGCCCCCCGGAGCCCGCGGCCGACGTGCCTCTGTCTCTCTCTCTTTCTCTTGCAGATCACGAACTGCTCAGGCAAGAGCTGAACGCGCGTTTTCTGGTCCAGAGCGCCGGGCGGCCCGGGGCCCCGCTGGGCCCGGGGGCTCTGCTGCGGGCGGAGTTCCACCAGCACCAACACACACACCAGCACACACACCAGCACCAACACACATTCGCCCCCTTCCCCGCGGGGCTGCCCCCGACGCCGGTCCTGCCGCCTGCCGCACCCCTGCCGGTGCGTAGGCCCCGCGCGGGGGGACACGCCGCAGGCTCGCACACGCTCCGCCTGCACGCAGACTGACACCGCCCCGCCCCCCATCCGGCCGTCTCCGCCCAGGCCCTCCTCCTAGTCTCCCTTTAGTCTCTGTCCTGGGCTCGGGCGGGCGCCCTAGGTTTGCACGTGTGTGACGTGGCCTTAGGGCCGGTCATCCCCTTGTGGGGTTCGGACGTGTCGGTTTGCAGGAGGACGGCGGGTCCGGCGGCCCCGGCGCCCCCTCCCGTCTCCCCAGGTCGTGAGCCGGCGGCTCTGTGGGGTGGGGCCCCTCCGCAGCACCCCCACCCTGGCCCCGGGCTCTACGCCCCCAGCAGGGCTGCGGCCGCCTCCCGCCTCGGCTGAGCAGCGCTCAGCCACCCCCGTGGTGAGGCCGATAGGACCGCAGGGGCCGCGGGCCGCTGCTGCAGGGAGCCCGGGGGACAGCTGGCCTCCGACCAGCAGCCCCCGGAGGCAGGACGGCCACACAGGCCTCCGCGGGCTGGACGGGGCAGGCGGGCGGGCGGGCGGGCGGGGGCCACGGCAGGCGCTGGTGTGCGGCGGGGCCTCACCGGTCGCCGTCTTCCCCTGCAGTTTGACAAGTACACGCCCAAGCTGGACAGCCCCTACCTGCGACATTCCAGTGTGAGTGTCCCCGCTGGCCTCGTGGGGGTGGGGTGCTTCCCCGTGCTGGGGGGGCTGGGGCCCGGGGGCCCCATGCCCGGCGGGAGCCCTGAGACGCCGTCCGCCTCTTGCAGCTCTTCCCAGCCTTCCCTCCGGCCGTCCCGGCACTGCCCGCCCTGCTCCCACACCCGGGCCCCTTTGGGTCCCTGCAGGGCGCTTTTCAGCCCAAGGTACCGGCTGCTTCCGGACAGTGCGGGGGGGGGGGGGGAGGGAGGACTGGAAACATCCCCAGCGCCTGCGCCGCCCCTCCCCCCGCAGAGACTCAGCCCCCGGCGGAACTCCACACCCCCCGCCCCAGGGCCCCCAGAGTCCTCTCGGCAGGGGCGCACAGGTTGGGGGGCAGCTCAGGGGTAAGGGCTGGGGGCTGAGGGTCTCCGAGGTCCCAGGGCCACCGACTGGGCCTCCTCAGCGCACTGCCCTGCGGTCCTGGCCCTGGCCCGGCTGCGGCCGCGCTGGGGTGTCGGGGACCCAGGCCTCCGCCGCCTCTCACGTCCTGCCTCTCTGCCCTCAGACTCCAAACCCCATCGAGGTAACCGGCCGGGCCAGCGCTGTTCACACGCTGCTCCAGAAGGGCCCCGGGGTAGGTGACGGCTGTGCTGCCCCCTCCCCCGCCCCCCGCCCCCGCCGAGCCTGGACCTAACGCCGCCTCCTCTGTCCACGACAGGTGTCCGACCCTTACCGGGCAGCAGTCAGGGTGAGCGCGCGGGCGGAGGTGTGCTGCGGGGGCTCCGGGCACTTCCTTGGGGGTCCCGGGGGCCCTGTGACACCCGGGATCTGGGGGCGGGGGGGGCGCGCCCTGCATGCCGCTGAGCTGTCACCCGCCGGCCACAGAAGCCAGGGAGGTGGTGTGCGGTGCACGTGCGGATCGCCTGGCAGACCTTCCACCACCAGCAGAGGGTGAAGGTGAGCCCGGCCACGCGTGCCCCGGCCGAGCCCGCAGGTGCCCCCGCTGGGCCTGCGGTCGCCCTGGCCTGGGGGCGGGGCGGGGGCTGGGGGGAGGGTCGTTCCCCACGGTGGGTAGGGGCCCCCGTCACTGGGTGACCCAGGCTGGGGTTCGGGACGAGCTGGCCCTGGGGGTGGGGCGGCTGTGGGCCCCTGTGCTGGGCCCACCAGTGTCTGGCCCGCCCCTGCCCGCCCTCCCCCCAACACTGACCGCGGCTGTGGCCGGGTGCGTCCGGGCGCTCGCGTGCTCCTGGGGGACAGCGGGTGGTCAGGCGCCCTGGCCCCATGGGGCCCCGAGCGAGGTTCCCCGAGTGACGCGGGGGGGGGGCACCCCCAGGAGACCTGGGGGCCCGCGGCCAGGGGCAGGATGCAGGGGGCCCCGGTGAGGCCGTGCGGGCGGCAGACGGCCCCCCCGTGAGAGAGGCCCCAAACGCCCTCGTGCTGCCGTCCGGGTAACGCGTCGCCTCGTGTTCTGAACGCGCTGTAAGGGCCAAGTGCACAAAGGGGTTTGTCACAAAATACCGGGTGTTTCGAAGTGTGAGTGCCCACGTGGGACCCCTAGAGGGTGGGGGGGTGGGGCTGCGGCCGGGAGTCCTGCCGGCCGGGCTCCCTGGGCCTCTGTGTGGGTGGGCCACCGCCCTCCACCGCAGGCTGGGCCCCGTGCGGACAGGGGTCAGCCTCCTGGGCAGGCGGCCCTGGACACGCCCTGTCCCTCAGCAGATGCAGCTGGACCCCCACAAGCTGGAGGCAGGCGCCAAGCTGGACCTGTTGAGCAGGCCCCCTGCCCCCGGCCTGCTCGCAGGGCTCCCGTTCCCGCAGGACCTGGCCCCGCCCGTCCTCGCCAGCTCAGGTAAGGCCTCCCGTCCTGCCCTGCCGTGGGGTCCAGCGAGCGGGGGGCAGGGGCTCCCAGAGGAAGCCGGGGATCCCCACCCTGGGAATGAGCCAGGCAGGAGGCCCTGGTGCTCCGGGCTCCACCACCCTCCCCCCCAGGTGCCGCCCATCCCTCCACCAACCAGCTCGGCCCCTCCGCGCATCCCGGCAGCTTCCTGCCCGCTGGTCACCTGGCAGGTGGGTGCCCCCAAGGGCCCTGTGATTGGGGCAGCCGCCGAAGACCCCGGGGCTGGGGGGGGCGAGGAGGAGGCCCTGAGAGCCGGGGACACCCCTGACGGCAGGCCGCACCTGCGGGCTCTGGGGCCGCGGGGGGTGCCTGGGGGGTCCTGGCGTGAGCCGTGCAGGCCGCTGAGCCCTGGCCACCCCCCCAGACCCCTTCAGCAGACCAAGCACCTTCGGGGGCCTGGGGAGCCTGGGCAGCACCGCCTTCGGGGGCCTGGGCAGCCACACGCTGGGTGAGTGACCCATCCGCAGGCCTGCTCTGCCCGCGCACGTGAGCCGTCCCCCCACCCTCCGCGGCTCCCTGTGCCCCCGGCTCCCCTGGGACCCCCTGCCTCCGTGCTGGCCTGGGGTGTGCGCTGCTCCCCAGCGCCTGCGATTTTGTAGGGGGCGGGGGGTGGGGCCACAGCCTCATCCCCTCGGCCTCCAGCTGCAGGCAGCGGCATCTTCGCCCCCAAGGAGGGCCCCACCCTGCGTGGCCTGCCCAGCCCCCACGAGGCCTGGAACCGGCTGCACCGGGCGCCGCCGTCCTTCCCCACGCCACCCGCCTGGCCCAAGCCCGCGGACGCCGAGCGGGTCTCAGCTCTGACCAACCACGACCGGGAGCCGGACAAGGGCCGGGAGGACCGGGAGCGGTGAGGGGGCCTGCCTTCGAGGGCTGAGGGCGAGGGCTGCCCGCTCGGGGCCGGGGCGGCCGGGGCAGCAGGGGCCCCACGGGCTGAGGGTCCGACGAGGGCGGGGGTCTCGTCACCACGGGGGGCGCCTAGGGAGCCGGGAGCCGCAGGGCGGGGGAGGCTGCCCCCGCGTTCGGGCGGGGGCTGCGGGGACCCTGAACTGGGGGTGAGGTTGAGCTCATCTGCCCTGGGGCAGGGAGGGGGGCCAGCAGGTGGGCCTGAGAGTCCTCGGCGCGTGTGGGCCGGCCGGGTGGGCGGCCCAGACCTCCACCCAGACCCTCCGCACTCTCCCCAGATTCCGAATTTGGGCGGTTTTGTCCCTGGGGGCCTATGCGGCAGGATCCAGGGGGAGGGGGCAGGAACGCGTGTCCCAGAACCAGGGCCCCCCTGCAGCTGGGTCAGCGGGGGACTCCTGAAGGACAAGGAGCCAGCTGCTGGGGCCGGGCGCTGGGCCAGTCATAGGCTGCACGCCGCTCGCCCCCCGCCCCCCCACAGCCTCCCTGACCTGTGGCGCCCTGGCTCCCCCGGCCCAGCTGCGCGATTGCGCAGCAGAGTGGGTTTCCAGGCGTTGCCAGGAGGGAGGAGTGGGGTGTCGGCCCGTCCTGGGGGTGCAGGGTTCTTGCTACCAGGTGCCCACCAGGAGGCCTCCAAGGGCCTTGAGCAGGGCCCACGGGCTGAGGTGGGGCTGGTGGCGGGCCGCTTGCTCAGGGCCCCTGGCACCAGCACCAGCGTCCGTCCTGCTGCGAGGCTGAGGGTGTCTGTCCTTCCAGGGACCTGGGGAAGCCACGACTAGCAACCCGGGCCTCACCGGCAGCCCCCGGGGGCACCCTCTTGCTCCGCGGCCAGGGCGAGCCGCGCATCAAGGAGAGCCGCTCTCCGGCTAAGGAGGACGGTGCCCAGCTGGCGGCCTGCCCGCCGTCGCCCTGCAGCAAGGGGGCCCTTGGCACCGGCCTGCGCCTGGCCGGCCTCCTGAGCCGCGACCCCGGGAAGCCGCCGGAGGGCGACGTGAAGGTCAAGGAGGAGCGCGGGGAGGACGGCGACGCGCCCGAGCCCGCGGGGGACGGCCTGCACCGGGGGCCGCCCACACCCCTGCAGTTGGGCCCCGGCCCGGGCTGCGAGCGGCTGGGCTTCGCGTGGGAGCCGCTGCGCGAAGCCTACCGCGGCCTGGAGCTGCCCCGCCGCGCCCCGCCTGCTGCCGCCGCCGCCCTCGAGCCCTCCGAACGCCCCTACCGGGACCGCGAACCTCACGACTACAGCCCCGAGCGCCTGCGGGCGGTGCGCCGCGAGGAGCTGGAGCGCGCGCGGGCCGCGCACCTGGGCGCCTCCCCGCACCTGCCCGCCCCCGCCCTGGAAGGCACCGCACTGCTGCCCGCGCTGGGCGCCCTGCACTACCCGCGCCTCGGGCCCGCGGCCGCAGCGCTGCACAACGGAGTCCTGGCGCGGACCCCTCCCGCCAGCGCCGCGCTCGGCGCACCGCCCCCGCTGGTGACCGCGGGCGGACCCCCCACGCCCGCCGGGCCGTCGCCGAGGAGCAGGACTACGCCGCTCCCGGCACCCAGCGAGGCGCCCGACTACTCACCGTCTCGGAACCCGCCGGAGGTGGAGGCGCGGTAGCCCCGCGGGCCGCCGGGCGCGGACCCCCGCAGCTGCGCGCTGCCCCGGGAGCTGAGCACAGGCCTTGGGTTCCAGTGACGCCCCTTCTCCCGCCATCGCGGGGGTGGGTTTCACACTCGGCCTTTCTGGGGGTGATTTTCTGTTTCCTGAGCTCAAGGTCAGGCTATTGGAAGAAAATTCAAGTTTGTACACTTTTTCCCACAACTGAGAAGTTTATAATAGATTTGTATTTTTTTCAATTTTGTGCTCTTTAGACATTTTAAAAAGAAGTTTTGCTTTTTGACTTTTAGTTCCGATGTGCAGTTTAACAGCCTCAGATCCCTTTTCAGAACCCCAAGGGTCTTTTTTGTCTTATTTATGGAGGAAAAAACGGTCATTTTGTCCAACACACTGTGAGGCCCCCCCCACTCAGGCCTGGCCCCGGCCCCCTGGTACTTGGAACTGAAGTTACAGATATATATTAAAATAATGTACAAAAGTGGTTTTTTGCCTTATTATGCAGAAGTGTAAGATTTCTTTTTCCAGTTTTTTTTTGTAAAAAAAATGGAACAAGTGTAAATAGTCTATTAATATAAATATATGATGTTATTAAATTCTTAATGTAGGTCCACTTTATAAAAGCAGTTTCAAACTGGAGATCCGTTGTGTGTGTGTCTGTTCAGAGCAGCCACGTGGCCGCGGCCTGTCGGGTTGGATGCAGGCGTCCGACCAGACTTGACCCTGCAGCTGTGCGGGCACTCAGGCCGCTGGCAGCCGGGCTGCTGGGAGAAGGTGCCGGCAGCACCCTGCTCCGGGCATCGGCCTTCGGCCCTGGCCACGCGGACGCATCTTGCTGCTTGTGCCGTGTTCTCAGTACTTTAGACGCAAGGAGTCTGAAGCTGATCACAACAAACCCGCCTCTGCCTGTTCGCGTGCCGCCCCTCCGCCGGCCGGCCCTTTCGGTTCGGGTTTTGCTTTCACAGCCGCGCAGGCGCTGCTGTGTCTTTGCTCGACGCCCCCTTTTGTCTCCCAACATCCACACCGGTCGGTTCAGCCACGATCTGTGTGTCAGCGCCGTGTTCCCACAGTGGACTTGGTGACTTTAAACGTTCTGTCCTCACGTTAATAGATGAAGAAAAATACAGCCTCGCTTTTGATGAGAAAGTGGGTGAGTGTTTTATGTGGCACTTCGCCCCGGAAGGGGTTTCTGGTCCTCAGCGCCCGGCGCCCCCGCCAGGGCTGTTCCCACTGGAGCCCCTCCCTCCTGGCCTTTGCCTGGCGCCCTGTCGGGCCCTCAGCTGCACTCCCCTCCCGTGGCCCCTGCCCGGCGCCTGGAACTGCTGGTCTGTTTGCGCTCCCTGCTCGGTCCTGCTGTGGCCCGTTGGCTCCATGGGTGCACGTTGCAGAGGGTGGCCTGCCTGTCCCTGCCGTCCCAGCAGCATGCGGGCCAGGCGACCCTGTTTCGGAGACTGGAGCGCTCAGGGGGCAGTGTGCAGGGCAGTGAGGAGGCCCAGGCCCCCTCCCCCCCGGGGAGCCCACCCAGGACCGTAATGGAGGGGGTGCAACCCGAGGTCTTCCCTTGACCGAGGTCAACTGGCAGTCGAGGGAGCTCGCAGGAAGGAATGTCCTGACTGTCTCAGAAGCCAGAGGACGCGAGCTGTCTGGAACCATAGGGACAGGGGAGGTGGCCTGCCCTCCGGCCCAGGTCCCTGGTGAGGCCCCCCACAGGCCTGCTCCGGGAGCCGTCTTTGGTCTGCACAAGTGGCCGCGACGCAACGTAGCGCCAGCTTCCAGGGACACGCCATCCACCTTAGGGAGCGTCTTTAAGATTAAAATAAATGGTTGTCAAATAAGAAAACGCCATAGTCCTGGCTGGTGTGGTTCAGCGGCCGGAGGGCGGGCCTGGAACCAAAACTTAGGTTTGATCTTCAGTCGGGGCACGGGCCTGGGTGGCGGGCTGGGCCCCCACTAGGGGGCGCGCGAGAGGCAACCACGCATCGATGTTTCTCTTACTGCCCCTCTAAAACTAAATAAAACCTTTTAAAATTTTTTCGATAAAAGCTAAAAGATGTAACATACAAAATTTATAAAGTCTCTTAAAAGACAGATGAAATCTGAGAAAAGGTAAGAGCCTTAGGACGCTTCAGGGGAGAAAAGCTAAAATGGAGCGGGAACAAGGCTGCATTTGGGGACCCATGTCCCAGAAACGGGACTGAGGTCCTGCCGTGCTACGAGCCTCCCGGAAGCTCCTCGAGCGCACGTTCTCGGTCCTGGCGAGCAGCGGCCAGAGCGCAAACTGCTGTTTTCTGCAGAGAAGGAGGAGCGTCAGGGTCTGCAAACGACCCGCCGACGAGGAACACCTGCGGTTACCTGGGGCCTGGGGGACCGGCCGAGGCCCGCGTCGCCACCTGGTGGCCGGTCTGGGAATCGCACCCAGCCGAGCGCGCGTCTTCCCTCTTCTCTGAAACTTTCCTCCTGCGTCCTGGGCGCTGCGGGTGCGGAGCGCCTGCCGCCCGGGGCCCGTCTCTCACGAGCGAGGCGCAATCAAGCAAGTCAGCCCTACGGTGCCTGAGAAGGCCCAGTGCACGAGAATACAAGAAGGTGGGGGCGTTTCTACGTAGCTAGGGAGGTCGCACTGAGAAAGTGACATCTAATAAAGACTTTGGGGTGCGGGGAGCTGGTGCATTTGGGGGAGCGTCCGGCAGGGGGAGAGGTCACTGCAAAGGCCCTTAGGCGGCAGGATCCAGGTGGATCCCGGAGGATCCAGGAGGCAGTGAGGCAGGACCAGGCGTTATGGAGGGAGAGAGACCCGGCCAGGAGGGCCCCTCCCCGCCACGGCTCTTGTCTGTCCCGCAAGAGAATAATTCAAGCGAGAGAGAAACAGGTGTTGTGGGAAGTAGGTTTATTTATAAAACACATACAAGCACGGAGCTGCAAGCAGGCACCCCCGGCTGGTCTCAATGCCCCACACATGGAGGAAAGAAAGGGTTGTAAGTGTGTTAGTAAGTTAGCGAGTTTGTTCTGTACACCTGAGCCAAGGCTGCAAGTCAGCCAATCCAGGGATGCCGACTCTTGGGGTTCAGGGGTTATATACCTCAGCTGGCTTCTGGGTTCCCCTTCTCCTTCCCCTTGGGAACAATGTCCAGCTACAAAGGCTTTCTTTTTCAGTCAGCAAAGGCTCTTTGTGCTCCTCAGTGAAATTGCTACTGAGGCCCCTTCCCAGCACAGCCCCTACCTTTTCCTGTGCGAGTCCCGCTTGTGAGGCTCAGCACACCCAGCAACCCGAGGGAGGCCGTTACAGAGGCGCCTCTTCTCCGCACCGGCTCGCAGACTCTCCCCGCCTCCTGCGCTATTTCATCTGTGACGCTCCGGGCGCCCGGAAGTCTCAAGAAAGCCGGCCCAGGCTGCCCAGTGAATTGGTTGCACATGTTTTCCTCCTGCTTCCAGCCTCCTCCACTAAGTTCTTTGTTAGGGGGGCCCTGCCTTTGTTTCCCCTCTGGCCTCTCATTCCTAGCCGCTACCTAATGCAGGGACCATGGGGAGCAGCTGGGGTCAAAGACACAGCTGGCCACACTGTGCAGAAGCCGCGAAGGACTGGCTTCCACTCTGCCGTCCCTGGAATATTTTGAGCTGAGAAGAGTGAGCGCACGTGTTATTTACAGCATCAGACAAGACCACCTCCCAAGTGGCCTCCGGTGCCATGCGCTCCAAGATAAGCAAATCTGTGCCAAGTAGAAAAGAAAAGGGCCCAGCTGGTGGGGCTGAGTGGACTGAGCTCCGGCCTCTGAACCAAGGGGTCACCCGTTCCATTTCCGTTCAGGGCACAGGCCTGCAGGCCAGGTCCCCAGCAGGGGGCGCACGAGAGGCAACCACACAGGGATGTTCCTCTCTCCCTCCCTTCCCCTCTCTCTAAAAATAAATAAATAAAATATTTAAAGAAAAGAAGAGGGACACTCGGGGTGATGCTAGCTAGGAAGGAGGCTGGACGTGACCTAAGTCAGGAGGACGCGGGTATAAGAGTTCTCGCCTGCCTGGAGCGTTAGCTCCCAGCGCCATCTGTTCTGGCTCCTCCACCCTTAACTCAGGGCACCGACAGTCCCTCGAGGGCGTGGGTTGGCTGCTGCTCTCAGCCATCTCCGCTGATTGCAGGCTGGACGAGGGGGAGGACCCCGCCTTCCACGCAAGTCCCCCAGTACCCTCTACAGAGACCTCATTATCAGAACTGGTCATGCGTCCACCCTTATCTGCAAAGGAAGGAAGAACCGGTTTTACACTGGGCACGTGGAGGCGGCACACAGAGGGGTCCCGCGAGGGAGCAGAAGGGAGCCCGGAGGGAGCCCGCAGTCGTGCGGAGTCACCTCGGGAGCGAGCGCGGCGCCGCCCGAGCACCCGTCCCCCTCCCGGCCACCAGGGCTTGCCCTCCGAGGGGCTCTCCGGACGGGTCCGCAGGGGTCCGCTGCCCAGAACACAGCCGCGAGGGTCCTGCCGCGGGCTGGCCTAGCGGGACCTGCCCCCCGGGGTGGGGGTTCCGCCTGGAGCTGCTCCAGTGTCCGGATTTGGGCCGGTGTGTCCTGTGCCGTCAGCAGCGTTTCCGGGCCGTGTCAGTTTCGAACGACCGACTGCTCATTCGCACTTGCCTTGACGAGAGACACTGACCTGCCCTCATTACGGACACGCCCGGTCGGGGACCGGGCAGCCGTTCTTCACCAGGCCGCACCTGACCCCTGGTCCTCGTGGCTCCTAGGAAGCCTCCATTGCACTAGGCCTGCACGTGCGGTGCTTTTTCTTGGGCTCTACATTTTTATTTTCATTTTTTAGATTGTATTTATTTAGTTTCAGACAGAGGGGACAGGAGGGAGGAAGAGAGGGAGGGAAACATCCACGTGTGGTTGCCTCGCGCATGCGCCCCCACTGGGGACCCGGCCTGCACCCCAGGCCTGCACCCTGACTGGGGATCGAACTGGCGACCCTTTGGTTCACAGGCTGACCCTCAATCCACTGAGCCACACCTGCCAGGGCTGGTCTCCACATTTTTACAGATTTCTTTTTGCCTTTATTGTCTAAAAAAAATAATGTGACAAGACACACTTTCACTCGATCCGTAGTTTATTGAAACTAAGTCATTAAGCTGCAGGTCCCAGAAGAGCAGCGTGGCCGAGGCCACGCCCCACGGAGTCAGGCGCGACGTGCGGCAGAGGGGCCGCGGGTGAGGTCCAGGCCGGTTCTGGGGCGCACGGATCCCTGTCCGCGTCACTGAAGGACACAGCAAAAATAAGAGAACGCGGAGAGACACGGACCTACGCGTGGGAGCGGAAGGCCGTCGCGGCGTCTTAAGGGCGCGGGCCGCGGCTGCTGACGGACTCGGCTCGCCTGGGAGGAGGACGCCGGCGGGGCCCTCTGGGTCGCTCCGCCACAGCTGAACCCACTTCCGTGAGCAGCTGCTGTGCCTGGTGCTGAGGGCGCCGCGGCAGGTGCTGACCCCTGGGGATCCTGGACCCCCGTACAGTCAGACCGCTGTCATGGGTCGCACCCCAAAACGTGCGCGTACAACACGCCCTCCCGGCGCCGCAGCGTGCGCGCCCACGCCGCACCCCGGCCCCCGGCCCGGGGCCCCATCGCCACCTCCCTCCGCCCTCACCCCTGGGCGCCCCCAGCCCGGGAGGTCCAGCCCGTGGAAGGCTCCAGAGGAGACAGGGGGTCGGAGGAGAGGCAGCGCCCGGGGAGGGGCCTCTCTCAGGCCCCCAGCCCTGGGGCGGTAGCAGCCCCACCGTCGCCCGTCCCCAGGTGCCGCCCGGCCCCGCGGGGCCGGCCCGCACTCACGGGCGGCGGCAGGCAGTGGGCCAGGATCCCGCTGCGCGGCACGCAGCGCGGGGGCGTGGCCTCGGTCAGCCGGAGGCAGCACTGGCTCCGGCACTCGCCGTGGTCCGAGCAGTAGCCGCGGCCGGGCTGTGGACACACAGGACACGGGGGCCCCAGCTGTGCCCGCGGCCGGGAGCCCGGCAGGCGCCGCGCACGCCACCCGCCCGGCCCCGCGCACCTTGCGCCACGGCAGGCACTGGGAGAAGAGGGTCCGCGGGGTGCAGAACCGCAGGGGGCTGTCGCTGTTGGTGACGCAGCACTTGCTGCGGCACTGCGTGTGGTCCAGGCACGAGTAGCCGTTCGACTGCGGGGAGGGGCCGGGCCTCCCTGAACCCGAGGGCGCGCCCCGGGCCGGGCTCTTTCCCCCGCGGCCCTCCCCGCCCACGCGGACGCGCGCGCACCTTCTGCCAGGACAGGCACTTCAGGAAGACCGTCCGCGACGTGCAGAACTTCTGCGGGCCCCGGCTGCTGGTGGCGCAGCAGTCGCTCTGGCATTCCGCGTGCTCTCCGCAGGGCTCCCCGAGGCCCTGCGGGGTCCGCCGCACACCTGCCGGGCCGCCGGGCACCCCGGGGCCCTCCCGCTCTCGGCTTCCCGGGACCGTCCACAGGCCGGCGAGGGGGGAAAGCGGGGGAAGGGAACCCACGGCGGCCTGGGTGGGTCCGGAGCCACGGGGACGGGGGCCAAGGGAGGCGGGGACGGGAGGCCGCCGGGAGCGGCCCCGGGCCCCCAGCAGCACGGCCTCTCACTGCAGTTCCCAGGCCTGCGGTCTCCAGGGCTCTGGTGCCGACGCAGAAACTCACCGGGGGCCCGAGGAGCCCTGCGGCCGCGGTCCCCGCTCTGGGGCGGGAAGCAGGAGGGCGGGGCCGCGGGGAGCAGGGCGGGGGGGCGGGGGCTTGCCTTCCAGGGGCCCCGCGGCCGTGGGGCAGGGCGGGCGCCGCACAGAGCACGCGGGGTCGGGCCGGCGCGGGGGCCTGGCGGGTGCAGGCACGCGGGCGAGGAGCTCACCTTGTAGGACAGAGTTGAGGGCTCAGGCCGCGCGGCGAGCAGCAGCAGCAGCAGCCGCAGGCGTCCGGCGAGCGCCATCGGGCCGGCGGGCCTGCCGGTGCGGGTGGTTGAGACGGGTCCCCTCGCCCCGGGCCACCTCCGCCCCCAAGGCACCCACATCCTTTCCCTCCTCCTCCCAATCTTTCTCTTGCAAAATGGATGTTTTTAAAATGAAGAGGTGTTCTTTTCTAGAGCAGTTTTAGGGTTACAGAAAAATCGTGCAGAAAGTACAGAGAGGTTCCCTATACCCTCCTTCCTCCCGCCTCAGTTTCCCCTACTAGTACCATCTGACGGTGCCATGGTATGTTTGTTACAATCGGCCAACGGATGTTGCTACATCCTTATCACCCCAAGTCCACAGTTGACATTAGTCGCTCCTGTTGTACATTCTGTGGGTTTGGACGGATGGGTGGCAGGTACTCGTCACTACAGTGCCAGGCGGAGCAGCTTCGCCGCCCTGAACGTCCCCTGCGCTTCACTCCTGACCCCGCCCCCCAGCCAGCGCAGGTCTTTCTTCTGTGCCCACACAGCGGCCTTGCCCTCAAGGCCCCGCCGTGGGCTCCCCTGACCAGTCACGTGCACAGAGGGTCCCTCCATGTGTCTTCATGGCTCGGTAGCAAGTTTCTTTTTACTGGCCCGTGGAAATGGGTTTTTAATAACCCTTTCTCCTGGGGCGACTGGGCCCATCTGCTTAAAAAAGAGCGTGTGGGCCACAGGAGGGCACCCTCAAGTCCCCCGCGGGTCCCTCTGCAGGGAAGCCTCCCTCCCGGCTGACCCGGCGCTGGCCCTGACCGGCCCCGCCTCGCCGTGGTCTGGGGAGGTGGGCGCCGAAGGCCCCAGCACGCGTGTCTGGACCTGCCCTCAGCCAAGCCTGAGCCACCCGCCCGCACCCCGTGTCTGCTTGGCCGCCGCCGCTCACAGAGCTGCTGATCCGGCCTCCGGTTCACCTCCCCTTCGCCCCCCCCCCAACGCTTTTATTGTTTTAAATTGAGGTGATAGTCACATAATATAAATTTTACCATTTGAAAGTGAACAAATCAGCAGCCTTGAGCACATTCACAGTGCTGTGCAAGCACCACCTCTGTCTAGTTCCGGAACATTCCGTCCCCCAGAGCCACCCAGGCCCATCAGCCGGCACTTCCCCTTTGGCCAGAGCACTGGGGGCAGGCCTGCCGCCTCCTTCCAAGTTCCAAGGTGCAGCGTCCAGATGGGCAGTGGCCACGCCGGGTCCCGCCTGGCCGGCTGCACGGGTCGGGGGCGGGGGGCAGCTGAGTGGTCATGGCTCCACGTGTTGCCCCCCAGACCACGAGCCCCACGTCTGTTCCCTGCTCTGCCCCTGGGGACCCTGAGCCACTGCTGTCTCTGCGACTCAGACCCCGCTCTGCTTACAGTCACCCTGTCGGCGACGCCTCAGGGCTGAGCCTGGGATGAGGTTCCAGGGCCCTCGGACCTCGCGTTGGAGCTGTGGCGGGTCCCGCCGGGCTCGGTCCCGTGGCGCCTCTGGGACACCGGAGCCCTCCCGGGACCCCGTCTCCCTTCCCAAGGAGCGGGGTGGGGGGCAGGCTCCTGGCGTCACTGTGTGAACCGCAGCGTGAACATTCTTAAAGGTCAGACAAGCGCTGTTCTTTCTGTTCTCGCCCCAGGGTGTTCTCTGGTCTCCACCCTTGTCACAGGCCATGGAGCAGGTCCAGGCTGGTCACAAACGGGCTCGATGTGCCTGGTCAGCCCGGCCCGCGCGACCGGGCGCACACTGAGCCCACACGGGGAGGGCCGCTGACAGGGAGCCGCCCCGTCCGCAGCCAAGGGGCGCAGCCAGCCCCGGGTCCGAGGGCGGATGGGGAAGCGAAACGTGGCCCGTCCCCACGAGGGGGCTTCATTCACTTTAAAAGGGAAGGAGATTCGGACACACGCTGTATCATGTGGATGGACCTGGGGACACTGCGCTGGAGGAAAGGAGCCAGTCACAGAAGGACAAATCTGGGGGGGCCGAAGTGGTCAAAACCACGGAGACAGAGAGTGGACGGTGGTCACGAGGGGCTGGGGTGGGGGAGGAGGGTTAGTGTTTAGTGGGGACAGAGCTTCAGCTGGGGAAGATGAGAAAGTTCTAGAGAAGATGGTGGCAGCGGCTGCCCAACAGTGTGAATGTGCCCAATGCCATGGAGCCAGGGACTTAAAAGTGGTCAAGGTGGCGAATTTTATCTGTGCCTGATTTTCCGTCACCAGGCCCTGGAGGAGCAGTTGCTTCTGGACTTGAGCAGCAGCCCATTCACAGCCCGATGACTCTGAAATATTCTCCTATGTATGGAGACTCTTCTTGATTTGTTTACGAATCGCTCAGATCAGACACCTTTCCACAGTTTTTCCTTCCCAATGTCAACGTGGGCCCAGTGAGAGCTAAGCTGCCAGACCCGGGCGGCACAGGTCCCCAAGCCACAGCGGCCACGCTGGAGCCTAGGCCCCTCCTGTCGGTGTCTCTGGCTCCGACGGGGGCACAGAAAGCCTGGCTTAGCCCCGGCACCTGCGGTAAAGGCGTCCCCACTGGGGCGTGCGCTGGCAGACGGACACACAGAGAAACACACCGTGGGGGCGCAGGCGCAGAACCAGTGTCCCCCGCCCCAGAAGCGCTGCCCCTGCAGCCGACGGTGGCTCTGGCAACAGCGGCCCTACCTGGTGCCTCGGATTCTGCCTGCTGCTCTGTGTGGACAGGAGACCAGCCAGGCCCGCCGCAGCCCCAAAGTCCAGCCGCACGGCCCCTCCCAGCCCTCTTTCCCCAGCCCTGACCCCGCCTTCCCCCCCGACCAGGACGTCTTTCATCATCCTACCCAAGGGACCAAATGGACAGCGGACCATGTCCGGCCACGCACGACAGCAGGCCTCCGGCCCACGCACAGCCAGGGAGCCAGCCGCAGCCGCCGCCCAGATGGCCAGCTCTGGGTCACTGCCCGGAGCGTCCCTGGTTTTGACCCGCCTCCAGCTCAGGTCCAGCCCGGGAAGCCAAACGGGCCCCCGTCCGATCACGTGGGGCCCCCTCCCCACCTGGAGCGACGCCCCCACGGCCAGGTCGCCTGCTGTGGGTCTGAGGGGCGGGGTCGGGTGCCAAGCTCCGGACAAACAGCGCGTTTGTTCTCTCGGAACATTGTTTCCTCTTGTTTGTTTCTCAGAGTTTGTTCATAATAAACACTGCCTGCCTGCCTTATTGAACTGGCCGGGTGCCAGGCGCTGCCCTGGGGTCTGCAGAGGGACAACGGCCTCTTCCTGCCACCCCGTCACCCAGGCGCTCTGGGTCTAGCTCGGCAGTGGCCCCAGGCCCATCGATGGATAGGTCGCAGTGGGGGTGGCAGGTGCCTTGCAGGATGGGGCTGGGGTGCTGGGGCGGGGCTGGGTGATCGAGGGGCTGGGGGTGAGGACTCCTCCTTATTTTGAGGAGGGGCAGAGGGTCTGCACGCAATGGGGCAAGAAGGCAGGGAAGACCGGAGGTGGGCACAACCAGGTCTTGGGGCGAGGGTCGGGGGTCAGGGCCAGAGAGGGGTCACGAGCGTTTTAGGCAAAGAGTAAGAGCAGAGGGTTTCCGGGAGTGTAGACGCTCCGAGGCTGGAGCTGCCGAGCCCCCGGCTGGAGCCGAGAAGCAGCTCCGTGTTGATGGCTGGGGGGCCGGCCGGGGAGTGGGTCTGATGGGCTCGCCTGAGCCCAGTGTTTCAGTGTCGACATGGCCTCGCAAAGCACCCAAAACTCAGGGACCAGCCCAGCAGGCAGGCAGCGCCCTGTCCCGTGTGTGGTCAGGACGCGTCCCCGAGGCGGCCGGGCATGCGTGGGAGCAGAAAAACGAAGTCACCTGAGCTCGGCTGCGGGTTTGGACTGTTAGTCGAAACCACAGGCGTGGACAATAGTGCCCAGGGCCGGGCAGGGCGCAGGGTGAGCAGGGGAGGGGCCGGCACGGGTGTGGGGTTTCTCCCGGGTGGGCGGGCGTGAGGAGAAGCAAGTGCGCTGAGGTTGGGTCCCGGTGCCGGCGGGGCCCCCAGGATATGCCGGAGAGAGCCCGTCGTTGACCCCGCACGGGTGTCGTGTGGAGCGAGGCTTGTCTCAGCCAAGCTGTTTGGAAAAGGAACTCTAACTTTTACTGAGGACTTGGTTGATTTTACATTGTTATTGATAAATAGTTTTTAATTCTACTCTTGCCAGGAAGTAATATTTCCATATATCCAAGGGTTTTAGAATTTGAGTGACTTTTTTTCCTTGTAAAATGCCTTTTTAAGTTTAAAAAAAAAATGATGAGACTCGGTCCTTCCAAAGTTAAGTTTTTAACCTATTTAAATGTATTATGCAAATTATCGATTTTAATCGACACCTTAGCTGGCCTTATAAAGTTGCCAGCTAAGGAGTTTCACGGAGTTTCCACTTGCTCTTAAATGTCCTACCAGCAGCTGCCAAGGCACCTTATCTAAACCCCACAAGAAGCATTTGGGGTCTCCCAAAACCAATCAAACACAGGCTCGGCCCTGGATTGCGTGGCTACTTGGGTTCTGATGGGTGGGCCCTCACAACACAAAGCTACCTGGCTAGGGACGCTCTTACACTCTTCTTATAGCCTGACCCATATCCCGAACACGGGCCAGAAAACTCATCTCAGACGATAAAAGAAGTCATTAAATTCTTGGATCAATTTAAGCTTACAGCTTTTCTTCTGAGAAAAGATGAGGAGAAAATGCTGCATCCATCTAGAAGAGGAAATACCTGCACATGGCCAGCAGGGCGGCGCTCCCCCCATGGGAGAAGGTAGCCTCCCGCGTGGCGTGGGTTTCTCTACATCACTGGAATTTGGACTTTTCACCCAGACTTTGTAGATGGGCACCTCTTTCTGATGTCATCTTGCCTGAGGCCCCAAAAGTCATATCAACCTACACGCACAAGTCTTTGTTCAAATCAAATAATGTTCTTCAATTACTTACCACTTCTCCCCTTCTTGTCTTCTCTTTCTTGACCCTGTGACTCAGTCTCTGTGACTGAGCCTGTGCTCCACACCTGGGTGTCCTCCCTTCGACCCCACCTCTGCGCGCTGCCCTGAGCCCTGCAGGGGTACTGAGTAAGCAGCTTCTCTTTTAGTTCACGATCATGGCCCCAGGAGACTCTTTAATGCCCTTGCCACACCCCAGCGCAGTTCTCGCGTTTTTGCTCAAGGATCACCTTCTGATCCTGCTGTTACTGGCGCAGTGTGCCAGGCGAGGAGCGAGGGCGTGGGCCTCTCTGGGGTGCTGGGTCAGGCTGCCCGTGGGCCACAGCAACCAGCCTCTGGCCAGTGGAAAGCTAAGTACTATGTGCCCCTGTGAGCATGGAACAGTGTGGCCAGCCACTCTGCTCCAAGGCACAGGCAGAAACCCTGTCTGCCGATAACAGTATCCACCAAAACAATATTGAAAAAGAACAAATCACTTCCGGTCAAGGCGGCAGCGTAGGCAGACACAGCTCACTTCCTTGCACAATCACATCAAATTACAACTAAAATATAGAACACCCATCACTCAGAGCCGTCAGAAATCGAGCTGGTTGGAAGTCTGACACTATGGAATTAAAGAAACCACATCCATCCAGACTGGTAGGAGGGGTGCAGATGCGGAACCAGCTGGTCCCACATCCGTGTGTCGTAGGTAAAAATTTGGGAGGGACATCTCAGGAGCGAGGAGTCTGAGCCCCACCCCAGGCCCCTCAGCCCAGGGTTCCAGGGCCAGGAAGGTAAGTCCCCACAACTTCTGGCTGCAAAAACCAGCAGAGATTGAGTCGGTGGAAGAAACTCTGGAGTCCCAAGCAGTTCCTCTTAAAGAATCCACACACGGACTTACTCGGACTCACTCCCTCTGCGCTCCAGCGCCGGGGTGGCAGCTCGGAAGGCACCAGTGGCATAAAGGGAGGAGCTGAGGTGTCTGGCATCAATGTGAGCAGAGACCATTGTCCCTTTTCTGCACACCCCCCCACCCCCCGCCATTCAGCTGGCAGGCTGCTGCCGTATCTGAGACTCCATCACCCTGGCTCACCCTGTGTGTCCAGCCCTGGAGATCCCCTGAGACTCCGGCCCATCCCATTTACAGCTGCTAACAGAGGCTTTTCCATATGAACGGCTGGTCTAGGCTCAAGCTTCACAACTTCCTAACTCCTGTCCGACAAGCAGCAGCCGGCCTCAGCGAGCCCCAGGCCCAGCACTGGCAGCAACCAGCCTAGTCTCACAGCTTGGGCTTCAACTCATGTACAAAAATTAACACAAAATGGTTCAACAACCTAATGACAAACCGGTAAAATGATACGACCCTTAGAAGAAAGCAGGCATAAATTTTCATGCCCTTGGATTTAGCAACGGATTCTTACACACCGAAAGCCCAAGCAACAAAAAAACAAAAACAGCTAAGTTGAACTTCATCAAAATTAAAAACTTTTGTGTATTAAAGAACACCATCCAGAAAGTGAAAAGACACCCTACAATGGGAGAAGATGCCTGCATGCACGTATCTGGTGAGGGTCGAATATCCCCAGTGCCCGGGCACGTCCCACAGCTGGACCGCAGAATGGCAGACAATCCAATTTAAAAATGGGCGAAGGACATGAATAAACATTTATCCGAAGAAATTATACCATTTTACCCATGAGGACGGCAATAACCAAATTAGTGGAAAATAAGGGTTGGCAAGAATGCGTGGAAAAGGGAACACTTGTCCTTTCCTGGCTGGGGTGGAAAACGGCTTAGTTGCTTGGAAAACGGCCTGGCCTTTCCTCAAAAGGGGCGCCGCAGGGCCCGGGGATCCCACTGCCAGGCGTACACGCCCCAAATGGACACCAGGTGCTCAGACAACGGCTCGTACGCGAATATTCGCAGCAGCTTCAGTCACAGCAGCCAACGGGAGGGAGGCCCCGGAACGTCTATCAACGGATCAACAGACACGTCGTGGGATGTCACACAGCGGGAAAGGATCCGCGGCCGAAATGAACGAAGCGCTTGAAACCGGTACCGGCCCTGGTCGGACCTGGAAGACGGGCGGGTACGCGGAACGCGCCAGGCGCGGATCGACCGGTGCGGCGGGACTCCGGCCTGGGAAGGGCCCCGAGCGGACCATCCCACGGAGGCGGCAGGTCGGTGGCAGCCGCCGGCCGGCAGGGGCGGAGGGGACTGGCTGCGTGGGTTGCGGGGCTTCGCCGGAGACGGTGAGCGGGAGAGGAAGTCGAGGACAGCGGCTGCTCGACGTTGAGGACGCGGTACGTCCCGCCGACGTGTTCACCACGACCGGTTCGTTAAAATGGTTCATTAGATGCTATGTAAACGTCACCTCGAAAAAGTGCAAGAAATTTATCATTTGGTGAAACGCCATGTCTGGGATTGGCTCCAAAATAATGAGTTGGAGTAAAAACTAAAAAGTTAAAAACCGAAACCCTTTGGTTGGCAAGTAAAAGGGATCGGAAGTGTTTAAGATCGTGGGGCGCGCGGCCCCGCCGGGGCGGGGCGGAGGAGAGCGGGGCGCGAGGCCGGGGCCGCGGAACGACCAGGCCGAGGCTGCCGAGGAGGGGCCTGCGCCTGCCGGCCGCGGCGGGGCCACGGGCTGCCCTCGGGGAAATCGCGCCGTTGCCCCGCAGGCGCGCGAATGTATTTGCAGCTTCACTGGGGTGCAATCGCATTTAACGCTGTGCGTTGTTTTAAAAAGGATTGCGCTTCGGGTCCCGGGCGCGCTGCGCGGCGGACGTCGGTGGAGACGTGCAGGGGGCGGGGCGCTCCGCCACATCTCGCGCCCCATCCTGAGAAAGTGCCCCCCGGACGCGCGGTGCCTTACCCCGGGGACGACCGCCGCACGACCCCCGCTGCGCCCGCTCCGGGAGTTCCCGCTCCAGGCCCCGACTGGTGACACCTGCCAAGAGCGCCGGGCGCCGGCTGGGGACCCCCGACCCGGGGCGGGGCGGGCGAGGCCACGCCCCGGGAGGCGGCCCCAGCGGAGCCCCAGCCCCGCCCCGCCCCGGGGCGCGCGCCGCGTCCCACCCTCGCGACTGTCCGAGCTCCGGGCCCCGGCTTCCCGGGCGGCGGGGCCATGGCGGCCGCGGAGCCCAAGCCCCCGGCGGGTGCGGCCGCGGCCCGGCGCCTGGCCCGGGGCTGCTGGTCCGCGTTCTGGGACTACGAGACGCCCAAGGTGATCGTGGTGAAGAACCGGCGCCTGGGCGTCGTGTACCGCCTGGTGCAGCTGCTCATCCTGCTCTACTTCGTGTGGTGGGTGCGCGCGGGGCTGGGCTCCGGGGTGGGGGCGGAGAGGCCGCGGGGTCCCCGGCCGCCTCCCGAGCTGGCCCCGCGTCCCCACAGGTACGTGTTCATCGTGCAGAAGAGTTACCAGGACCGGGAGACGGGCCCCGAGAGCTCCGTCATCACCAAGGTCAAGGGCATCACGGCGTCGGAGCACAAGGTGTGGGACGTGGAGGAGTACGTGAAGCCCCCCGAGGTGAGTGCCGCCCGCCGCGCGCTGGGGGTGGTCCGACGGGGGCCGCGCTGCCCGCGCCCGCCGACTGTCCCCTCCTCTGAGCCCAGGGAGGCAGCGTGTTCAGCATCATCACCAGGATCGAGGTCACCCGCTCCCAGACTCTGGGCACCTGCCCCGAGGTGAGGCGGGGTCGAGGACGGAACGGGGAGGGTCCGGACTGTGTCCGGGGACCGCGGGCGTCCGGCCCTGACCCAACCGCCTTCTCCCTAGAGTGCGCGGGTCTCCAACGCCACCTGCGACTCCGACGAGGACTGCGTGGCCGGAGAGCTGGACATGCTGGGGAACGGTCTGCGGGCGCCGCGGGGGCGCGGGGGTGGGGGTGGGCCGGGGCGCCCCTCCTTGCCCTGAGCGCCTGTGCCCGCAGGTGTGCGGACGGGGCGCTGCGTGCCCTACTACCACGGGGCCTCCAAGACCTGCGAGGTGTCTGGCTGGTGCCCCGTGGAGGACGGCGCCTCTGTCAGGTGCGCCCCAACCACCCGGGACCCAGGCGCCCCCCGCCCGCGACTCTGCGCCTCCCTCGGGGGTGGGGGGTGGGGGTGGGCGTGCGGCCAGGGAGGCTTGGGGGCGGGGGTGGGGGAACTAAACACACCCAGTCTTGCCTCCTCAGCCAATTTCTTGGAAAGATGGCCCCAAATTTCACCATCCTCATCAAGAACAGCATCCACTATCCCAAATTCCGGTTTTCCAAGTGAGAGCCTGCGGGTGCGGGCCGAGGGCGGGGACGGGGCGCTTCCTGGGAAGGCCGCGCCCGCTTGACGCGCCGGGCGTGCGCAGGGGCAACATCGAGAACCGCAGGGACGGCTACCTGAAGCGCTGCACGTTCGACGAAGCGTCGCACCTGTACTGCCCCATTTTCCGGCTGGGCTTCATCGTGGAGAGGGCCGGGGAGAACTTCACCGAGCTGGCGCACACGGTGAGGGCTCCGGCCGGCCGGCCGTCCCTTGGCTGTCGGGCCGGCGGGGCGGCGCGCGGAGGGGAGGGGACCGGGTGCCCTGCCTGGCTGGGCAGGATCCCCGCTGAATTACTGACTCCTGGTCACGCAGACACCCCTGCTGTCTCCTAGTGCCTCAGATGTGGGGCGCTTGCCATACTCCCCGGCTCTGGGCCCTGAGCACCCCCTGGTTCCCCATGATGTGCACCCCACACAGCCTCAGGGCGGGACCCCAGGGCTCTGGAGGGTCATGTGTGCCGCCCTGACCCCCATCTCTGTATCCATGTCTGGGCAGGGTGGTGTCATTGGGGTCATTATCAACTGGGACTGTGACCTGGACCTGCCGGCATCAAGCTGCAACCCCAAGTACTCCTTCCGGAGACTCGACCCCAAGCACGTCCCAGCTTCCTCTGGCTACAACTTCAGGTGCTTTGGCCTTGGGACAGCTGGGCCCTCCCCCACCCTGGCTGTGGCAGGTGCTCAAAGGCAGGGGCACCCGTGGTCAGCAGAGACTCAGAGTTGCCCCTCTGGCGTCGCCCACTGCCAGTTCCTCAGGGTCAGGTAGCCGGTCTTCTGGTCCCAGGTTCTGATGCCCTTCCCGGTTGTCCCACCCCAGGTTTGCCAGGTACTACAAGATCAATGGCACCACCACCCGCACGCTCATCAAGGCCTACGGGGTCCGCATCGACGTCATTGTGCACGGACAGGTAACCCGGCCGGCCTGGGTGGGCCGGAGCTCGGCTGGTCCAGCTCCACGGCCCCCACCCCGACGGTCTGAGGTGGCCTCTTCTCCCCAGGCAGGCAAGTTCAGCCTGATTCCCACCATCATTAACCTGGCCACCGCGCTGACCTCCGTCGGGGTGGTAAGGAGCGCACACCGCGGGCTGGACGCGTGTGGTGGGTGGGGGTCTCACCATGCCCTCACATGCCTGTCCCGCTGGCCCCAGGGCTCCTTCCTGTGTGACTGGATCTTGCTAACGTTCATGAACAAAAACAAAGTCTACAGCCATAAGAAATTCGACAAGGTGTGTACGCCAAGGCACTCCCCAGGTAGCTGGCCTGTGACCCTGGCCCTCGTTCTGGGACAGGCCCCTCCGCCCCCCTGCCCCTGCCCCACGGACCCGAGCAGGCCACAGGAAGAGGGGCGGAGCCAGGCCCAGGCCGCCCTGCCACCACGGCCTTGTCCCACCTCCGCCCTGTCTGAGCAGATGGCGGACATTCCCGGTCGGGGTGCAGGACCGGGGCCCTGGGCCTCCGAGCCTTCCCAGCAGGACTCCACGCTCACAGACCCCCGAGGTTTGGCTCAGCTCTGAGCCCTCCCCCACCTCCCCTCACAAAGGCTGGGCCTGGCCCCGAAGCCTGGCGGGGACCCGCCTGAAGAACCCAGGCCCTGCCCCCACACAACCAACAGGGAACCAAAGGACCTCCACGCAGTCGGGCCGCAGGCTGACAGGGGCAGCACCCCGACCCCAGCTGCCCCCACCTCCCGACCTCCCCAGCTCCTTGCCCTCCCTGCCCACACAGCCTGGGACCACCCGCCCAGATCCCTTGCTCGCCTCCTAGGCAAGAGATCACATGTCCAGAATCCAATAAACCTGTGACCAGAACCGTCTGGCCTCATGTTGTGGGAGAAGCATCTTGGGGCCTGGAGACAGGCCAACAGCGTGCGCCTCTGCAGGAGCTTTAACCCGCCTGGTGCGTGTGCAGGCACAATGCCGCCCTCCCTCCACCAGGTCCCTGTCGCATCTGCCCCGGGGGCTGGTGGGTGGGCCAGGCCGAGGGCAGGGCGACCCCCGATTCCTCTCAGCACAGCGGTTAGTGTGAGCGCTGGCTTCCGGCAGGGGTCACCCCAGGCCCCAGCCCTTAGAATGAGGGAAGAGTGGCAACAAGGACAGAAGCCAGGAGGGAGGTGATGAGATGTACCCAGAGGAAACCAAAGCTTTGGTTCCACTGGCTCTTAAACCAAAATGCCCTTCCAGGTTCTGAGGGGCACCGCTGGGCAGGAACCCAGTTGGACAGAGCAGGGGCCCCTGGTGCCAGCCTGGTTAGGCATGTGGGTAACCTGGTTGCTGCAGCCTCAGATGCCACAGCTGTTGCACTCAGCTCCTTGCCAGACCAGAGCACGCTCTGGGGACAGCCGCTTCTCCGAGTGACGGCGAGTGTGCAGGCGTGAGGAGGCATGAGCCGAGTGCCTCGCACAGATCTCACCTGCGACCCATCACGCCCAAGCTGAAGGGGAGGGAAGATTCAGCCCGCACCACCCTGGGCATCCCTAAGTGCAAGGACCCACCCGCCCACACCGGACAGTTGCTGCACACGTGCTGCAGCCAGGACACACTCCTGAAGCCCCCACCCAGCCACCTCCACAGAACCTCCCATCCTTGGGGCGTCAGCTGCGCAGGTCACCCAAATGCCCGTGACATCCTGAGTGTCTGGCTCACAGATGTCCAGCTCTGGTTTCGGAGAAACTGGCTTTTCCAGTTGAGGCTGGGCTGCAAGCTCAAGCACCAGGGCCAGGGGCTCAGGTTTCCCATGAGTGACCAGGGCCTTGCACCCCAAATGCCGCCACCTGAGCTGGCCTCTGGGGAGCTGCCGGCAGCTGCAGAGCCCAGAGCGGCAGGGCCCCACCTCGCTGCAGGGACAGGGAGTGCAGCACCCTGGGCGAGACTGTGGGCTGGCCCCCCCCCCCCCCCCGAGGCCTTGGCATCACTACCGGGAAGCCTGGTTAGCTCCCCCACCCCGGCCCTAATTTGATCTGATCTCCGTCTGGGGCTGACTTGGGCTCCGTCCACCTTCCAGCCGGCATCAGGTTTCTTCCGGCCACTGGGCTGGGCCAGCCCGGGGGCCAACGCAGCCACACAGACAGCTGTGAGCGGCTCAGCCCCCTCCAGAGGCTGAGGGGCTCTGCACAAACACAGCACACATTTTAAGAAATGTGAAATTCAGATGAAAATTCAAAGTTGAACTGGAAGACAGAAATTAGGTAGCAAGGACAAAGTTAGACCAGGCTCCGTGGGGCCCGACGGCCCACCTGGGCCTCCCACAAGCCCACCATTTGGGGTTTGAGTTCGCTGCCTCACCAACTCTTCCTGTTTCCAGTGTATGTCATTAAAATCGAGGGGCACGAGGCTTATGTTCTGGGGCTGATGAAGACAGAGCGGGGGAAAGCTGGTGCTCAGCAGTGGACCCGGGCACCCCCCACCCCCAGCTCTGCAGGCCAGGGCTCTGAGTACACGGATGCTGAGGCCCCCTGGGCAGGAAACCCTCAGCTGGGTGCCTGGTGGGGTCAGAGGTCCTGGACCGATCCCTGAGGATGAAGCAAGAATAGGACCTGCCTCCACCTGATGAAATTGCTGCTCTTTCCTTCCTCCCTTCCCCTGAAGAACCAAAAATCTTGTGGGTGGAAAACTATTTTCCTAAAATCCAGATAGTAACATAGGCTGCGGAGCCCACGATCAACAGTGCGCCCCACCCCTCCCTGGGCCCATGCAGGTTCTGAGGGGGGGGGGCTGCAGACAGGCCCTCCGGGAAGCCCTGGCCCAGACGAGCTGCCTGCACCCCCTGCTCTGACCAGGAGGTCTCCACGGAGAAGCCCAAGTCCCTGGAACCCATCGTGCAGAAGACGCCCGGGGCCCCACAGGCTCAGGTCCTGGTTCCTGAACGGGCCTGGGCCGACGCTGTGGGATGTGCTTCCGCCAGGTAACAAGTGCCTGGGCAGCAGGGGCTGCAGATGCCCATTCAGGCGTCACCGTGCCCTGGGTCTGGCCTCCAGTCACCCTCAGGTCTCGGTTCAAACGGGAGACCCCGAGGGCGGCCAGGGGCGGGGGGCAGTGGGGCAGGGCCGTGCAGCGGCAGCAGAGGCCACCCGCGTGTTCGCACAGTGAGAAGCGACCTGCTCCTGCGCTCGCTGGGGATGCTCTCAGGTCCACAGCTGCGCAGACCAAGACTGGGACCAGGAGCTGAAAGGTGGGCCGCTCCCTGCTCTGGCTCCTTTGGGCCCAGCGACCTGCTCCCCGAGAGCGTCCTGGTGGTCGTTTTCTGTGGCGCTGCGTCCTGCGCGTGAGTCGGGAAGACCCTGAGTTGGGGCGCTGGGGCAGACGGGCGCGGTGCCTGGCTCGCTACTGGCTCGGCTGGGGGCTCTTCTGCAGCAGCCACTCCAGGGTCTCCATGAGGTGCGACATGCCAAAGTGCTGGGCAAGGTTCCGGAAGATTCCGATCTGCTCCATGAAGACCTGCGGAAGGAATGGTCACTGTGAGACCGAGTCCCAGAGGAGGGGCGGGTGCAGGGCAAGGCCCAGGAGCGTAGGGAGCGAGGGGGTGTGGGTGACAGCCAAGGAGGCGGCAGCCCGACCTTGGTGTGGATGGTGAGGGCGAAGTCGCCGGCACAGCCACAGTACACGGCCATGTTGGTCTCCTTCACACCTCGGCACTTCAGGCAGATCTGGAACGAGAAGCCCTGGTCAGGAGCCCCTTGATCCCCACAGCCTGCACCTCACCTGTGGGTAAAGCCGAGACTTCACAATGGCCTTCATCGAAGCCATCGGGACCTCATCCAGTGCCCGGGCTGCGGGCACCCACCTGCTCCAGGTCACAGACCCAACACCTCCCTCGGTTTTTGCTGAGAGGTCCCCTGGATCCAAGGCTGAACACCCCAGCTCTCTCTCTCTCTCTCTCTCTCTCTCACACCGCCCCCCACTGGTTCTCAACACTCATCCGCTTACACGCTTCACCTTGTTTGCTGTCTATCTCCCTTCACTACAGTGCAAGGTCCACTAAGCCAGCAGCTGGCCATCACAGGTGCCCAACAGGTGCTATGAGACTAAATCACTTGGGCTGTGGGTGAGGCCTGACCCAAGAGGCGGCCATCATGGAGGGCCGTGCTGTGCCCTGAGACCGGGCCTGCCAACAGCCCTGCTCCCCATGAGTGCCGACTGCCTGTCTGGAAGCCCCTGTGGGGGCTGGCCGGGCGGAGTGAAGCGCCGGCGCCAGCCCCGCTGCTCACCAGGTCCTGCAGGGTGAAGGCCATCAGTTTCTTCTGCAGGGCCTCTACCAAGGCCGTCTCAATCACCGACGAGTCATAGGCAACCTGGCAGTTGGGGCAGAGCCACTGGGGCAGCATGGCCCCATCCTGGGCGGCGGACAGGGAGGAAGCAGGTCAGCCTCTGCGCAGCCTTCCTCGGCAGCATCCCCACACAGGGCTCGGGAGGCCAGCGTTGAGCAGAGGCCCGAGAGAGGAGAGCTCTCGCGAGAGGGGCATCGCCGCGCGCAGCCGCCCACTCAGCTGCAGGGCACACTCCCATCGCCACCACTGTCCTTGCGTGTTTGCTGGGACAACGTCCTAGCGCATGGAGGCTGAGTGCCTTAAGAGCGGTGCCTGTTCTCATCTACGTCACAGCTTGCAGGGGCGCATCGCATGCAACCCGAAAAGGCGGAGACAGGCCCTGACACACGGACGCTGCCCACCTGAGAGAAGGACGGGTCTTTGCACAGGTCCAGGTCCCGGCAAAAGTTACAGCTGTGGCAGATGACCTCTGGGAGCACGTAGGAGCGGCAGGGGTCTCGGAACTGGGCCTCCTCTGAAAACTCCCCGACGTCCACCAGGCGCAGAAGGTCCCGGTTCAGTTTGTTCACCTGGTTTGTGATGTTTGTGTCCAGAGACAGAACCTGCGGAGAACAGAGTGTGGGTGAGGGACGGCTTCCGGGCTCCCCGCTGCTCCGTCCGGACTGGGAAACCCCGCGGCTGACTCTCAGAGCGGCAGCGTCTCAGCATCTTCCGCCTTTCTACTCTGTCCGGGCGTGAGAGGGCAGCGTTGCCTCCTCTACCTCTGTGGCCCCCAGCAAGGCCACACACACGGGGCCCTGCTCTGCCCCAGGTCTCACAGGCTTCCTCAGGTCTGGGGACTCTGGCACACACCAAAGTTTTTGCTCTGTCTGCTGTCACTGCTCCTTTTACCTGAATGACAGGCAGTCCTGAGTCTACTGGAGCTTTACAATCTCAAATGCAGAGTGGTTGGTGGCCGCCTTCCATGGAGGAGGACTTCCCAGGCTGGCCTAGGGGCCTGCAGGGCCGAGGGGGTGTCACGGAACCCTCCTGTCTGAAAGGAGAGCCCCCCACCCCGCCCAGCCCTGCTGTCCTAGCACGATGCCAAGAGCAAGAGCCAGAGCCAGATGCCACAGGAGGACACTGTTGGGAAGACCAATTAAAGTCCAATTTGAAGCCCACACGAGCCAGTGAGACAAGCAGACTTCAGCAAGTAGGTGAGTTCACAAGCACTACACGTAATGAGGATTAACAGCCCATAGATTCCCAAAG